TCATTCTGTTGTGTATTTCAGTAAAAATAACCAAATCAAAAACTTCATTTTCAAATTGCCGCAGAAACGTTTTTTTGGACAATATGGCGTCTTTGGTGTGACGTCACACGACTGTTATTAAAACGTCATACGATACAATGTAATGTCACTTTAACCGGAAGTTTACTTGCGTGTGACGTCATTTTAGGCTCCGCCCAGTGGCGTAACTATAGGGTGGCAAGTCGGCAAAATGCCACGGGCCCCCAGCCCGAAGGGGCCAATTCCCAACATTTATTATTACACATACACATTACTTAAGTAAAAAAAAAATTTTGTCTTTAATTTATTTGTTACCTTCTTAGTTGCATACACAAGTAAAAAAAATATACCTAGGTATTAAACTTTCAATGCATTAGTAAAAAAAAAATTTAACCCAGTTTTAGAAAGAATGGTCAAAATCCAATTACTCGTAATAATTTCGGAAACATGTGTGTACAAACATACCTCAAAAATGTGTATATTGGTTTACATTTATATTCACTGGGCATGTCTCAGGGTGTCTCGCTGAGACTAAGTATACTGCCGGCATTAAAATCAGTGTTGCCGTTTTAGCGCATTTCGCGCTAGATAGTGCAATTCTAAACTCTTCAGCGCTTATTTTCTCAATACAATGCGCTAAAAAATATTTTTCGGAATCTAGTAGAAAATTGTAAAAATTATTGACGATCGTAAATTTAAGCCAATAAGTTAATTGCCAGAGCCGTAAAACGTTAGGAAAATAACGAGCTGGGAATTCCTCAAAGGATTTAGTATTCCCCGACCACAATGTTATTGATGCGTTTATTATTTTGTCTCTTTTTTACATTAAAGTGTTATGTTATGACTGTCTCTGATTTTACTAACAGAGTTCAATTATAATGATACGTCATCAGTTGAAAGTTCTTAAGAAAAATTGCCACACTTTTATGTTGCCTGAACACGGTTTGAAGAAAATGACTAAAACTGTAAAAAAAGAAACGGCATCTGGTGAAGGCACACCAACCGCACCCGAACGTAATGATGATGACCAGAAAGATATTCAGTTGATTTTGATAAATGTAATAATTTAAATTTTAATAATGGTTAAATAAATTCACATAAAAACACATCTTCTCTTATTGCCATTAAAAATTCACAGCTAAAATTTAGAGCAATTTTGAAATGAGTTTGGTGTATTTTTTTCTTTCTCAAACGGCAACACTGCTTAAAATTTATGTTGGTAATACTTGTTGATGCTTGGGGAATCCCCGATTCGAGTTTGTATATATGAAAAACTCCACTATTGTATTACGCAAGAACTCACCAAGCAATTAGCAGTTTATTGTTGTAAGAATTGGTTGTTTGTTGCAAGTGAGGATATATTTAATTAGTTTATTGTGAAAATAGGTTGACAATGTCTACTCGGTAAGAATTTTATTCTAATATTCAAAATAATTTATACTATTACAATTATTTTAATTTTTAATCTACCCATAAAATTAATCATTTACATCGTCGGTAGGTATCGGTAGTAAAGTTTGAAATCACAAGTTACGAAATTATTATTTAAAATAATGATTCTCATCGCGCATTTCAAAATCAATTCACTATTTTGACATTCGTAACCACCAAAACTATTTCGGTACCTATGTTCATCGTTCTTTCAAAACTTACAAAATTTGACACTTGAATTGAACTTTGAACAATCGGTGGACTTTCGTTATAAACATTTTTATGGTCGCTTTTTTGGCATTTCTTAGCAATTAAGTAGATTTTTCAATAAATAAAAACTATTACGAACAAAAATATTATTACAAACTTTTTGCGGTTTTGTTCTAGAAAGTGTCAGAGTGGAAGCGAAAAACGAAAGCGAAAGAAGGAGTCTGAAGAACAAAATAAAAAATTACCTAAAATAAGTCAGTACTTTAATAATCAAGATAGTATATAAGAAGAATCAAATGAACAGCGCGACGGAAAGGCAGAAAATGATGACATAAGTGGCAATATCGCAGGGCCCGATAACAGTGAATATTTAGATTCAGAGCAACCACAACCAGGTACGAGCAAATCTTTAAATGAATCATGTTTGGACATAGAAAAATTAAAATCTTTACCGCATGTTAATGATAAAGGTAACTTTAAAGAACTCAATGATCAAGTAAAACGGTTTGTGATCGAAAACGGACACTGTAAACCAAAAGGCCCCTTTTTAAGGGATAGTAACAATAGATCTTTCTTAGATAAATATTATTACACTGTTTCTAAATCTGGCGTAAAGTTAGAACGTACATGGCTGTCCTATTCTCTATTGCTTCAAAAAGCATATTGTGAACCATGTTGGTTATTCGCAAATAGGGCATCTAAAAATATACAAAATATTTGGATGGAAGGCTATGATGATTGGAAACATATTGTGGAAGCCATAGAAAGACATGAGACATCGAAAGAACATTTGCATTCATGTTTTGTACATCGACAGTGGCAGTTACATGGAACACTAGATGAAGAGCAAGAGTCCATTATCAAGAGAGAAAAATTTTTTTGGCGCCAGGTACTCACTAGACTCCTTGATGTTACTCTGACACTTTCAACCTGTAATTTAGCTTTTCGTGGCCATAAAGAAACGGTATATGGCAACGATTCTGGTCCAAAAGGAAATTTTTTGAGTATTGTTGAGTTATTAGCCAAATACGATCCTATTTTACAAGAGTTGCTAAGCAAACCTAAGGGCCAGATTAAATACTTAAGTCCAAAAATACAAAATGAGCTCATTGCTGTTCTGGTTCAAAAAGTGGAAAATGCTCTGGTAAATGAAATAGTCACCGCACCGTTTTATTCCATTTTGTTTGATACTACTCAAGATATTTCCAAAACAGATCAATTGTGTGAACTTTACCGTTACTGTGTAATCGAGAAAGATGAAAATGGAACTCCAAAGGCGCTCGTAATTAAAGAGTCATTTTTAGGATTTCATGAGGTTAAGGATCAAACTGCCTTAGCAATGTCCAAGCAGATAATAAAATCCATAAATGACAAAAGTATTTCTCTGAATAAGTGCCGTGGACAAGGGTACGATGGAGCTAATACCATGAAAGGTACTTATGGCGGAGTTCAAAAACTCATAAGAGATATAGAGCCAAATGCAGTGTATGTCCATTGTGCTGCTCATAATTTAAACTTGGTAGTAAATGATGCAGTAAAAGAGGTCATAGAAATACAAACATTATTCGAAACTGAGCAACAAATTTATAATTTTTTTGGCCATAGTATTAGACGATGGAATATATTATCTAGTTTTATATCTGACAACAAAAAAGGAGAAACCGTTGTATCATCAAATTCAGTAACATTAAAAACAATGAATCCAACTAGATGGGCAGGACGCTTTGATGCCATGTTTGCTTTAAAGGTTAGATTTGTTGATGTTCAAAAAGCGCTAACAAAAACCATTTTATCAAATTCCAAATCAGATGAGAGAAATGAAGCTATCTTGCTAAAGAAGAAGGTAGAGAACTACAATTTTATTATGTTGCTGGTTTTCCATTGCAAAGTCTTACAAACCATAGACGCGGCTTCTAAAGCACTTCAATCTAAAGCCATCGATCTTTCAAATGCTTCAAAGCGTTTGCAAGTCTGTCTAGAAGAACTTGAAAAGTATCGACATGAATTTGAAGATTTAAAAACGGAAGCAAATAGTATTGCAGTTAAATGGTCTATAAACCCTGAATTTCCTATAACTCGTCAGAGAAAAGTGAAACGTCATTTTGATGAAATTTGTGAGGATGAACGTCTCCAAGATCCTGAAAGCTTGTTTAAAGTGAACGTATTCTATCGTGTATTAGACATCATCATTAATCAACTTAGATCGCGTTTCCTTGGAATGAATGAAATTGTTTCCAATTTTAGTGTCTTGCAGCCTGCCACTTTGCAAAACTTGAATGATACTGATTTATTGGAAAAGGCTTTAGCATTTGTCCATTTATATAAAAAAGATATATCTATGTCGTTTTCCAAAGAAATTTTCAGTTTTCGATCCTCTTTTAAACACGAAATAGAAAGGTCATCTTCTATAAGAGAACTTGCTGACTTATTAATAATAAAGAATCATTTTATATCTTCAAGCTTTCCTGAAGTGTGCACTGCATTTCTGTTATTTCTCACCATTCCTGTAACTACGGCTAGTGCCGAGCGATCATTTTCAAAACTGAAATTGATAAAAACTTATTCAAGAAATTCTATGGGACAAGAAAGGTTAAGCAATTTGGCTATTCTATCCATCGAAAATTCTATGGCCCGAAATTTGAACTTTGATGATGTCATTAACACTTTTGCTGAACAGAAAATCCGAAGAAAGGAATTTTAATAATTAAAATTGTGTACTTAAAATAAAATTGTGATTTCAGTTCAATATGTACTTTAAATTAGGTACCTTTAATTAAAAGTGAATAATTAGAAAATCAAAATATTAATTATTATAATTATAAAGTTTGTATGTACCTACTTCACGTAGTGATTTATTAGTTAACTCTTACAAATAAAAGTGTATAAATAAATATTATAAAATAAAAAATACTATTGTTGTTGGTTCAGCTTCTTTATATATTGGGGAAGTGGGAGGGCCCATTCGATGAATTTGCCACGGGCCTCGAACGGTATAGTTACGCCACTGGCTCCGCCAATCCGTTTGAGTCACGTGACAATAGATTTAGACTATTATCTTTTTCGTGGGTTTTTAGTAAATTTAGGAATAGTTTTTTTGTAAAAATAGTAAAATCCCCTGCCAATATTCATTCTAAACACAGATGCTAACAATTGGCACTTTTTACTTCAAATCAATCCAAAATTTTTCTCTGTTCTGCGATCTTTTTAATTGTTCTGCGATATCTTTTCCTTATCAATACTATTCTGTAACATATTTTATTGGAATTACACTTTGTTTGTTTGTTGATATTAATCTTATTGATATTAATAAAATAAATAAATAAACTGTGGTGTGTTCACAGTCGGCTGTTCAGCCCCAAGCCGCAGGAGTACTACACATACCACGGCTCGTTGACCACGCCGCCGTGCCCTGAGGTTGTCACCTGGATGGTCATGGCCCACCCCACCGTGGTCTCCCACGAGAATGTGAGTATGAACCGCCCACTTGCAGGAGCACTGGCTCGCTGACCACGCCGCCGTGCCCCAAGGTTGTGATGGTCATGGCCCACCCCACCGTGGTCTCCCACGAGAATGTGAGTATGAGCCGCCCACTTGCAGGAGGACTGGCTCGCTGACCACGTCGTTGTGCCCCGAGGTTGTCACCTGGATGGTCATGGCCCATCCCACCGTGGTCTCCCACGAGAATGTGAGTATAAACCACCCACTTCCAGGAGCACTGGCTCGCTGACCACGTCGCCATGCCCCGAGGTTGTCACCTGGATGGTCATGGCCCACCCCACCGTGGTCTCCCACGAGAATGTGAGTATGAACCGCCCACTTGCAGGAGCACTGGCTCGCTGACCACGCCGCCGTGTCCCGAGGTTGTCACCTGGATGGTCATGGCCCACCCCACCGTGGTCTCCCACGAGAATGTGAGTATGAGCCGCCCACTTGCAGGAGGACTGGCTCGCTGACCACGTCGTTGTGCCCCGAGGTTGTCACCTAGATGGTCATGGCCCATCCCACCGTGGTCTCTCACGAGAACATTAGTATGAATCACCTAGGTACATATCTATATCTAATCCTTAAGACAAAAAAAATATAGCAAAATTTTTTGTATTAATCTAAAATATACTCCTACTAGAATGACTTTGATTTCTTTTGCGGAGACGTGACACTGAATTACAGTCTAAAATCATGAAAATTATTGTCCTAACGGTAACTAGGTATGTAAGATCCTTGCCCGTGATATACTAGAAAATATTAGCACGTCCATTAGCATATCGGTTAGTGCATTCGCCCGAATAGCGTAAGATGTTGCTCCGATCCCACCAGTTTCTTTGTCACTCTTTTCATCAGACCTTTCAATTCTCCCAATTTGATTCTGCCCATAAGGTAGACTTATAGCCCCTGTAACAGGATCTGAGCTCAGTGGCGGCGTAAGGCGTGGGCGACGTGGGCCACTGCCTAGGGACTCGCGGTACAAGGGGCCTCGCGCCTGATAAATTTTTATGCATTGCTTAAAAGCGACTTTCTTTTTTTTTATTATTTTATAAAATCCGTCTTCAGGTCGACACGGAACAGGGCCTCGCGAAATCTGTCATGCCCACATCAGATTTAGGTCTGGCCCCGCCACTGTCTGAGCTGATACATGAAAAACTGATCATGATGATGACGAACTTTGCAATTAACAAAAATTCCTTTTTCCTTTCCAACAGTACAAGAATCTCACGAAAGCCGACTTGAGCGGTATCAACAATGATCGCGCGGTGCAACCACTACGTTCACGAGTCGTCTACCGCTCCATGAGCTTGTCGTCCTGCTCTAGCGCTCTTTCTCCCTCTAGCATCGGCGCTTTAGCAACGCTCTTAACATGTCTCACTTCCAAGATGGCGTCGGGCGTCCTCGACGGGATGTGCAGACTGGCCAACTGGAAGAAGAAGCTGTTCGGGCAGGCTCCGAAACAATGTAGCTAGAAGAATTCACGAGAATTTCTAATCGAATTAATGTTAAGTTGTATACCTAAGTAGTAAAAAAATTATGGGTTTATACATATAAGTGTACCGCAGTTTCCTGGAGCGCTGTTCTTCAGAAGATGTTTCTCAGATTTGGCCTTTCATTTCCCAAATTCTTAAAAGAAATTGGCTTGAAATTGAAATTAGATAGGTACGGTTGGATAACGTTAGGTTTTAAATATTTTAGTTAGTATCTCAACGAATAAAGGATGAAATAATACGATAAACGTTCTTTTTAGAAAAGCGCTTCGATAAATAGTAACTGTGAACATTAACTGTTCAATAAACAGTAACTGTGAACATTAACTGTTCAATAAACAGTAACTGTGAACATTAACTGTTCAATAAACAGTAACTGTGAACATTAACTGTTCAATAAACAGTAACTGTGAACATTTACTGTTCAATAAATAGTAACTGTGAACATTTATTGTTCAATAAACAGTAACTGTGAACATTAACTGTTCAATAAACAGTAACTGTGAACATTTACTGTTCAATAAACAGAAACTGTGAACATTTACTGTTCAATAAACAGAAACTGTGAACATTTACTGTTCAATAAACAGAAACTGTGAACATTTACTGTTCAATAAACAGAAACTGTGAACATTTACTGTTCAATAAACAGTAACTGTGAACATTAACGGTAACTGTCAATATCTAAAATTTATCGTAATTATAATTTCGACTTCCAGTGCGTCTTCTATTTACGATAAACGCAAATGTTGAAATTAAAAGTCATATAAAGTACGTATGTCTCGAAAGACCAAAAACCTCGCTCTTAAACGGAAATTTATACGATTATGCTCATCCGCGAATATTAGAAATTTGCTCCAAATATGTCAAATTCGACCTAGAACATTTAAGAACTCTTGTTCAACCATCAACTCAATTTTAAAATCGTTAAATGTTTATTGTTACATAGCCAAATATTTTGTGGATATATGGAAAATGTTGCTATAGTCAAGGTCATGTGATAAAAGAATCAGGGTTTCCACTGAAGTCCGGGAAACTAGAACACAGAAGGTTGATAACTATGTAGGTATTTTCATCTTCCTTGTATACTATTACTGAAAGTCGCCAATCCTTAAATATCCCCTCAGGTTCGCGTGGTCTAGAGGCTCCAGACGGAGAGGAGACACCCCCTGTGAGGAGATGCCTTCCGCCTGGAATACCTCTAGAGGCACTCGCCAATTCTCGGCTTGAGGTCCCTTAAGATCTCGCCGTCCCCAAACCCGGTGACGCTGTTAAGGTCATCTGGACCAACAGCATACACACTCAAAAATAATCCTTAAAAATGGTCATGTGAAGCTAATCTATATCTGCACCGCTGGAGACGTGATATACAGTGATTTCTTCAGACCTTCTCCTTGGACTTTTGTATGCTCTCTTCCACTTAAGCTTGGTATTCGATTCGATTATCTTTGGATGTTGAAATACCCTGAAACGATTAATTCGTAAACGTTACTACCTGCCGGTTACCGGCAGCAACACATTTCTGTGATCAATGATCCGTGACTTGAGCTCGTGATTGTGAATTTGTGATAAATAAATTATATTCATGGCAATTTTTGATCAATATTGCCACTGCGCCACCAGATTTTAATGATAAGTAAAGGTCCCAGTTTCATAAGTAGCTTATGCTGCAGAGACACCTAGGCCCGTATTACAGATTGACAACTAAGTGTTGATCTTTACTTGAGTACAGTTAGAAAGGGATGTCGCTATGTGCTATATATAGCGACATCCCTTTCTAACTATGCTCAAGACTAGATCAATCACTGAGAATCTTTGTATAATACGGGCCCTAGTGGCACACAAAATTGTAGAATAGCGGCTATTATAATTTTGTTTGCTTAAATAAGTCTCTTAAAGGTGAAAGAAAACCACGGTTAAAACTAATATGCCTTATTAGACTTGTTAAAACCTTTTTTGAATAAAAAGAAACCAGATTTTTTCTTCCAGAAATTCAAGAATTGAAAATAATAAACTTTAGTTTTCGAAACATTTTTATTAATCTCTTACGCATCTATTAAAATTGTAACTATTTCTTTTGGTAAATGATGTGAAGAATTCGAATTTTAAGAGTTGCACAATAAAGAATATATCGGTTATAAATTATGAATACCTTGAATACCCAAAAGGAGGAAATTTTGAATTTTCTTAATGATGGACTTTAAATTGTTGTTATATTACTCTATTAATCTTTGTTTAAGATGTTATACTAGTCATGCCTTAAGTATTTAAAGATTTTTTTTATGTAAGACAATATGTATTACTATACATATAAAGTCGGATAACGAAGTGTCATATAGTATTTACATATGTCTATTTATATACAGGGAGAAACACAGCAGGTTTACAATTGACGATCTCTTGAAATGAAAATAATATAAGTATGTAACACAGTCTCCGCTTCCGGTCATGAAATTTTTTATGGTTTTCAAATCCTGTCAATCTGTATACAGTAAACAGTTCCGTAATATCTGTAGATTTTCACAAACCTTGAACTGAGTTAGGATAAATGATTGGCCTTCCTTCGCTCGACTACATGGAGACCCGGAGCTCTATTTTTGAATCACTCGTCTAGCGTCGAACGCTCGATTTCTACTAAATTTCATTCCATATAATTAATTCCGTATTTTTGAATGGCTCGAGTGCAACATATGGGTGAGACCACTCGCTACATGGCGAATGGTGGAGGCGAATGATAGAATAATTGTCAAATTTTTTGTGCTATTAGACGACGATAAATCTATCATTATCATGCTTTACATGAAACGACAACGAGAATTTTTTGTTCGGTTGAAAACCGCAGGTTGCGGTAATTACCCGTTTTTATTTTTTTTGCGTGAAAATGAGTAAAATTTCGTATTTCGTATCAAACAGGTAACACTGGTGACGAGTGATTCAAAAATACGGAAAGTCAGTATTATGCGAGTTGAAAGTCGAAGGTGACTTATGTCGATTTCGACGATACTTTGTCAGACGAGTGATTCAAAAATAGAGCTCCAGTCATTCATCTATGGAACTGTGTTTGAAAATATGTAAGTGAAATACCTACTTTTAAAATGAAATTTGAAAGATACAGAACACAGAAAGAGGTTAGAAGTGCCTAATGGGCGGGGCAGGTGCGCCACAGTTATGTGTGAACAAATGCTCATAACTTAACCGAAACTTGTTTCTGATTGCGTCGTTGCTCTCGGATGTGAACCCTGATTGGGTCGATTGTTTGATGTCGCTTCGTTTGATTGGCTATTATCTATTAGGTGGAAGTGTAGTGGGGGCGAGCCGGCGACATCGATTCCCGTAGCAATAGCAACGGTATATGATCACCGTTCTAACCTCTTCTGTGTTAAAAGTTTGGATTTACAAAAAATCCCCTGTTGTGTTATTTGATCTTTAAAAATAAAATAATAGTAATGTATGTGTTATGATTAGTTTTAAAGTTACCAAATATTTAATTTTACATAATGTATTTTTTTTATGAGACCATACTCAAACAGGCTAAAGTACAAAAATAATTATTTGTTATGTTCCTATAGGTTTTTATGTTTTAAACATAATATATGTTATACCTATGTGTAGGTAGATACGAGAACTTAAAATAAATTTATCAGTTATAAAAACTCGAGTTATTTAATTTTGAAGACCTACTGCTTTTTTTTATTAGTTAGGTATAAAAATTAAACATATCTAGATTGTAGTTATTCGTATTACAAACTTATTGTAATTTGAATAACATCAATTTATTAACGACTAGTGGCCGCCGTCGACTTTGTCCGCATTTACTTTAGTTTTTGAGCTCCCTTACATTTTTTCTGAATAAAAAGTATCCTATGTCTCGACCTCCGTGGCCGAGTGGTTTGTACGCCGGGTTTCATGGTGTCGCCGACTCGAGAGGTCCCGGGTTCGAATCCCGGTAGGGGCAAATGTTTGTGTGATGAATACGTGCATTTGTATTCCAGTCATGGATGTTTAATATGTATTTCTATATAAATATACTTATATATGTACAGTACAGTATATGTATTCTATCCGTTACCCTAGTATCCCATAAGACAAGCCTTATAGTGCTTACTTTGGGGCTAGGCTAATTGGTGTATGTGTTGGAAATATTTATTATTATGTGAACCAAATTTCATCCAAATCCGTTGAGCCGTTTTTGCGTGATTGAGTATTTAACATTTCTAATATTAATAGGAAGTAGGATGAAGGCCTTAATTATTAGATGAAGATAAAAAATTAAAATTAAATTATTTTCCGCCTATTGATGTCCTGTCTGATGTGGCATAGGTTTTCTCTATGAAGAAATCACACAGTGAAAAAGGCCACCATACAAGGCCAGTCTGAAAACTTTCTTGTATTTCTACTACTTCAGATGCTAAGCTACAATTATCGTAATAAAAACGTTTTGTTCTGCCAACCAATAAATTGGCCCTACCAGTTTTTTTTATTGATAGGTCTGAGAAATGTCTAAACCCCTCCCGACTTTAAGATTAGGTGCTGGTGGAGTCTAGACGCGAAGATACAGCAGTACAGCTGTTTTACTAACCACACCTGTCATCCTCACCTTGCCAGCCTCCAAGTTTCTTCTTCACACCTCTTTTAAAGGATTCTGGGATGTAGGAAAGAGCAGGTGAGCGGGCAAAACATTCCATTTGCTGATCGTGCGACAAAGAAATGAGTCGCCATTTGTACGTGATGCTTAACTTATACAAAATCTCTTCTCTACAAAAGTCATATTGCAAAACTTTAATTTTTTTGGTAAGTAGGTACTTATTAACGGGATTATTACCTTGTTTTTAGCGAGTTTCCGTGTGTGGTTCGTATATGTAAAAACCGGAAAAATCAAAAAAGTGTCGTGTCGCGATCCGATACTGTAAGTGTTGTGTGTCGGGAACAGTTTCCAGTGAATAGTGAGAATGTGAACAGTGGTACGGGTATCGAACGCAATAAAAGACTTCGCCAGAGGGTAGACCGATATGTCTGCCAATAACAGCCTACCCGCAATTAGTTCAGTTACTCCGTGATCATGGCGCTTGCAACAGTGCCGAAATATCGGAAACTCGCTAAAAACAAGTACATGGTAACAATCACGTTAATAACATATATCTTTATATATATAATTCTTCTGTGAGTGTGTATGTCACTGAACTTCTCTTAAACGACTGGACCGATTTTGATGAAATTTTTTGTGTGTGTTCAAGGGGATCTGAGAATGGTTTAGATTCACAATTTTGTCCGCTGGACAACCCCTATTTTTTTAGGGCGGTACGAAGTTCGCTGGGTCAGCTAGTTACTATATATATTAGTGATCATGAAAGTTTAAAACAATATATACCTAGGTACTTACCTACCTTGGGAGGACGGAAAGGTTATGTAGGACTTCTCCCCCCCGCCTCGCCCCGCCACTCAGCCAATCCAAGGACTAGCCCAGCAGCCATTCGAGAAGAGGGGAGCCCTATCCACTAAAAACCTGACGATGCCCCTCACCTCACCGATGGGACGTCACCTCGTCGGGCGCAAAATCCACCATCAGGTGGCATTCCGCCCGACGAGGCAAAGGCACTGGGTGAAGCCACGGGAACCCGCAAGGATACTTCCGTTACCTCAGCAATGAATGTCCGAGTCGAACCGACCCTCCGAACTTGGGGATGCCCTGAGGCACCGGGCCCCGCTGGGCTCCGCCGGTGTTGACTAAGAGCTGATTGTTACACATTCTCTTAGTTCTCACCCTTTTTTTTTTATAACGCAGGTAAAAAATGCTATTTACAGACGACAGCGCCTTTAAGTGGCACACCGCTGAACGGACCTCACACCTGGCTCCCGCAAGTCTTACGGGCGCCCCAGTGGCTGTCCACCGAGGACCTCGCAACTCTTACGGGCGCTTTACGGCATAATATCCGCTAAAAAAGTCCTGCGAATACCCTCTAAGCTGCTTAGCGCGAAGCCGCGGGATCCCCGTTTAGGGATTCTTCCGCGTCTCCGCACCTAGCAGCCTCCTGGCCTAGCCGGGGCTCCACGGCAGGGGTCTCCCGGGGTACGTATAGTTCTCACCCTCCGGCGCCGAAAAGAGTCCGCGTGAGTATGCTCTTCATGGTCTCAGCGGCCTCCTTCTGCGAGATAACCTCCTCGCAAAAGACCGCGCCGGGCAGGCACTAGGCTAATTGCTGTGTGTGTTGGAAATATTTATTATTTATAACTTTCCCTCTGAGGAACTCGATGGCGCAAGTCAGTAGCGCGTTCGGCTGCGATCGTTGAAGTTAAGCAACTTTCGCATGTGGTCGGTCATTGGATGGGTGACTAAAAATTTACTATCTCGATCTCCTCCGTGCTTCGGAAGGCACGTTAAGCCATTGGTCCCGGCTGCATCTGCAGTCGTTAGCACCCACCAATCCGCACTGAGCCCGCGTGGTGGGTCATGGCCCAATCTCCCTATTCCATCCATAGGGAAGGCCTGTGCTCCAGCAGTGGGGACATTAATAGGCTGATGATGATGATGATGATGATAACTTTCCCAGTACTGGGTAATAAGTTTGTAAAATTGTGATATTTTGTACGTTTTTGTTGAAGCAGCAGATCAGTTTGTTGCTACATCTAACCATCAATCTAACTTTCTGGCCTGAACCCTATTCCCCTACCCCGGTTATTTTCAAAGGAAGATAGGTATTTTCATTTCAATTTTATTCAATGGAAATAAATAGAACGTAAAGGAAGCCAAGTGGTTTGATGACAGAGACCTATATTAACCAAAGCATTTGTTTAAAATTAGACTTAACCGGGTTCAGCGAGTGAGTGGGTCAATCTTCGTACAGGGAGGATGTATCAATAAAATTGCCGTTGCCTAAGTTGTTGATGGGATCAGTGTTTCTAGACCACTGCCTTGGTTCCAGAGTGGGGCTCAGGACTTAAATTCATTAATACGATAAGAAAATATATTAATCTATTTACTACTAGGCTTCAAAAAATTAATAATTCATTTAAAGTTCTTTGTGTTCGCTTATACAATAAAGTCCCAAGCAATATCCAAGAGTTAACCATAAATAAATTTAAAAATAGTATAAAAAAGCACTTATTAAAAAAGCTTATTACAAAGTGTCTGATTATATTACAGACAAAAATGCTTGGGTTTGAACTGTTCCAATCATTACAACAGGTTTTCTATATTAAATAAATCATAATTGTATTGACGTTGTAACAACATAATGGTTTGTTAATGTTGTTACATTTGACTTTTAATGTTGTGGAGTTTTTTTCGCTCGTTTTTCTCCGCAGCTAAAAAATATGTCTACAACGAGTGGTAGGGAAAAACCATTTCGGACGATTCAAAAGAGTTGTACTATACATCCAATTTGAATAAAGATATATTGATTTCTGATGAAGATAATATAAAGTTTTGAAATGCTATCACTATGCATACGTAATCCTAGAAATTGTGAGAAAATGAAAAAGCTTGAAAGTTCCATAACTTCACTGTTCCTTTCAGCATATCATGAAAATTTAAAAATCTTGTTAGTAAGAAATGGAAAATAACGTTCTATCTGTATTTACCTTTAAATATTTCGAGAATTGTCATGTTGTAATCGTGAAAACAGTGCATTGACATTTGACGACCTCCGTGGCCGAGTGGTTTGAACGCCGGGTTTCATGGTGTTGCCCACTGGAGAGGTCCCGGGTTCGAATCCCGGTTTGGGCAGATGTTTGTGTGATGAATACGAGCATTTGTACTCCAGTCATGGATGTTTAATATGTATTTTCTATATAAATATACTTATATATGTGCAGTATATGCTTAGTTTGGGGTTAGGCTAATTGGTGTGACTGTTGGATATATTTATTTATTGACATAGTCTCATATTTTTCATTTACAGTTAATAAACGTATTAACTGACTCCACCCGCGTAGACCGGCAGCCACGCACGTCAAATTCTAGATTTCCTGCTGCAATAACCAAATCAGCACAGAGGGGAAACAAAACACCCTTATTACAGCAATCTGTGTTACTAACAAGCTACATCTGACAATTTGGCTCTCAGCTATCATCTCCCCAACTCAACATTACCTACATTGGGGGACATCACATCTGTACTATGTTGGTGGTTAACTCCTAACAGACTATCAATTTTGTGCATTGAAGACAATGTCTTGTATTTTGTAACATTAAAATCCTTGCCACCTGAGCAAAGAATGCTTTAACTCACAAAATAGGGTATTTGACAGTATTAAAAATAAAGTGCCAATTGTTAGCATCTGTGTTAAGAATAAATATTGGCAGAGGATTTTACTATTTTTACAAAAAAAATATTCATAATTTTACTTAAAACCCACGAAAAAGATAATAGTTTTCTTATATATTGTCACGTGATCCAAAACCGCTTGGGATTGGCGGAGCCTAAAATGACGTCACACGCAAGTAAACTTCCAGTTAAAGTGACATTATATTGTATCGTTTGACGTTTCAACAACAGTCGTGTGACGTCACACACTAGTAAGACGCCATATTGTCCAGAGAAACGTTTTCGCGGCAACTTGAAAATGGAGTTTTTGATTTGGTTATTTTTACTGAAATACACAACAGAATGATGAATATCCACTTTTTACGGACTCCATAAACATTAGTCAATAACGTGAGATCGTTTATTAAAACTTGTCAAATACCCTATTTGAAAAGTCAAGTCCATAGAGTTCTCTCACACAAGCTTTAATACTGGTCCAAAGCGAAAGAAAGATTTAATAAAATAAAGCACCCTGTAAAACATCTCTTAATTTTTCAGTATGTAACGGCAATTATATATTTTTGAAGTTATACTTCTTTAGGCGCGTTATGAAAAAATGATGAGAGTGAAATTTTAAGATGCGCGCGCATCACTGTAACACAAAATTTTAACAGCATGAAGTTGGTCGCTTTAGCGAACGCGCTGTAACTTCATGCTGTTACTTTTGTGTTTACCGCACATTAAGAAAATCTACCAACAAAATAGAAATAGAATCTCTATTTAGTGGGTGCTAACGACTGCATTGTGAAGGCCTAGCAAAAGTATTTATTAATCTGGAACAACGGAACCAAAGCGCGATTCAGGAGACTACAGCGCCATCTCTTGACCATTGGTGTAGTAGAACCAAAAACCACATCTTTATTTTTTGTAATAAAGTAACAGTTATAGGTATTCATATTTATAATATTTATCCACATGTTTCTAGTTTGTATATTCGGAATACGTGTTTGAGTTTCATACAAGTGCAAATCACATATGTTCTAATAAATTATATTCAGCAGGTAGCGATTTTAATTGAATATTTTGATTATTTATTTATTTTTTCAAATTAAAACTGAACTTTATTGACTGTGTCCTTTTCCAGACTTTTAATTAATTTATTGTAATTAATTATTTGCATGCAATTAAAAACTAATTTTAAACGATGCGAAAGAAGGATAACTTCTCACGCGCCTACATAAGTACACGCACCCATTTTTTATTACCATTGATACGAAACAATCGATGCTACGGTATCAAATTTCTGCTCTCAGAAGAGAAAAAGAGCGCTTGGCGTTCATATCAACACTTTTTATAATATCCGGATGCGAATCAAAATTCAACAATACATTTTAACAAACATCAGTTGTGTTTTGTAAACAAATTTTATTATACCTTACGTCATTATAAATCAAATTCGGCCATTGTATTGATTTCAGTCGCATTATCTTCTTGGGACAGTTGTGATCATGTCTGTTTGTCGATTGCAGTTGATAGCTTCATTAATGTTTTTCGGTAAGATTCTTAGATGAATTAAGAAGGTCATGAATTGTCAACAAAAATTAGGACTTCCGGTGTCTGTTAAGTGAATAAGGATGGTAATCCTGTCAAATACCCAGAAGGATAAGGAGAAGAGGACTTGAAGAAACTTTAATTTAACAGATAGTACATTATATTGTTTTAAACTTTCATGGTCACTAACATTATAGATATTAACGGGATTGTTACCATGTACCTTGTTTTTTATGAGTCTCCGATATTTCGGCACTGTTGCAAGCGCCATGATCACGGAGTAACTAGTGTGTAGTTATAGGAGTGTTACTCCGTGATCATGGCGCTTGCAACAGTGCCGAAATATCGGAGACTCATAAAAAACAAGGTACATGGTAACAATCCCGTTAATATCTATAAAGATAGTACATTATTCTGTAGCAACATCAGCAATGGAGCAGTCGCTCTAGGACCCAGGTACCCAGAGGGTAGAACAGGCATATGTGAAAAACTATTCCAGTGTAAGATCATTAAAATTTAGGTTAAGAGAAAGCCTCGAACGCAGAGAACTCTGATCTGAATCTTCTGCCACCCCGGGCCATGGCCGTCTTAGCCCAAATGTAAGGTAAATACTCCTCTGCTTCGGCCGGTGTTCTTCCGTAGTTTTATGTCGAAGAGAAGAGCAGGGAGAGAGTAGGTACATAGTAAGGTTACTCTGAGCTCTGAACCTCCAGGGACTATATTATGAGCTTTAACGTCAGCCAAAAGGCAAGAATGTGATATTTCGCTCTTGGTAATAGGTACGTAGTTTACGATACAATCTCATCGTCGTCGTAAGCGTCGGTTGTGTTGTGATAGCAGGTTGCCTTTGATTAAGACATAATTTCCATCGGTTGCGTATTGAATTGTTTACAACGTTAGCAATAAGCGTTCAGTGATACAATTCCCTAAGTTTTTCTTTGTATTTCATTCAATTTTATTTATTCACTATTTCTTTACAGAATTAGTGTCATCGAATTTGTATAAGGAGCCCCTGTGGAACTATGATGGTAAGTCATAAGGTTACTTAAACTATTACTATCGACCAATACAACATGCAAGGCAACGGTCTAATAAACTCGAAGAAAGTGTAACGCTAAGTGTCGCCGCACACGGGCCACACGCCACAGCCACAAACGCCGCCACGAGAAGCTAGAAGTGGCTACTAAAGTGGCTAAAGCGCGTGACAGCGGCCGACTAAAGTAAGGGAGAGAGGGGTGGGGAATCGCGCGAGTGACGTGTGGCGGCGTTTTGTATCGGCGCATTAAGTGACCGGTGCGGGCTACAAGAAGCAAGCAACGACGATTTGTAGCATGTGGCGGCCACCGGCGTACCGTGTATGGCGAGTCCATTTAAAATGTATGAAAACTACAAGAAATATGCCGGTGGCGGCGTTTTGTGGTTGTGGTCGGTGGCCCGTGTGCGGCGACACGAACCATTATCAAATAGTTGAATTCGATCTAGATATACGTCAAATGTGTAATGATTTTAAGTTTCCGTTGTGACGCTACTGTTCAAGTTTCCATCAAGGTAGTTACATACCTAGCGGTTTCCATGGTTTCCTTTGGTTTCCATAGAAAATTTGACAATGACATTTCGCACTCGCAAACGTACCTAACGTACAGTGCGACCAAGATCTTTAAGAACGCGAGTGACAGTTCAGGGAACCACTGTCTACGTAAATGACCGTAAATGGCATACAAAATTTGACCTTTACAAAGATGGCGGCGTTTTACAAAGTTCTAATTTTATTTATTTATTTAAACTTTATTGCCACAATTACAAAAATGGACAAAAGGCGGACTTAACGCTAAAAGCATTCTCTGCCAGTCAACCTTTAGGCATAAAGAAATCCACGAATGCGGCTGTAATAATAAAAAAAAGTGATTTACTTTAAACATACACCAGTAAAAGTAACTACATAAATATTTATTTAAAAATAAACCTAAATATACATGCATAGAATACATTTAAATATATTACTTATATAAATATTTATAATATATATATATATATATACATACACATACATAGACATAATTATTATTAACACCGTTTATAAAATATATTGATGGTGAGACTGTGAAGGGAAATTGTGAGTTAAACTTAACGTTCTTAGCTTTCTAGGAGAAGTTCATGAACTTTCTTCTTAAAACTGCCTTCTAACGGAGTCAGGGAGGCTGTTCCAGAGTCGTGAAGATTGGAGGGCAAAGGAATCATACATATAGCCAGAGTGAAAAAGAGGAAGAGATAGTGCAAGAGTATTAGTAGAACGAAGTCGAAGTTAATTTTCACCACATTCTTTTAACGTATTTTTACTTGATTGAAGAATGAGTTCAAGAGACACCATAAAAATTAAACGACTTATGAAGGCATTTAACCTACATAGAATTACATTGCAGGCATTTTTTTTTTCTGTTATCAGTAACCTACTTACTTTAATTTGCGACCAAAAATGGTGTCACCATAGCTAATTATATTATAAACTAGCAAACCAGTGAACCAAATGTTCACCAAAACCGGATTTGAAAAAAAAAAAAGAAAAAAAAGAAAAATGTATTTAAGTAATTGAGAACTTTGGAGATTTTGTGTGGTTTCGTTTGAAATTCGTGATTTCTCGAAAACCGGAAGTGCTACGTTACTCAAATCCGGTTTGTAGTCTTATCAGACTATTCTTAACTTATAACTTGTTTAAGTTAAGTAAGAGAATGTTTATTCTCTTTATCTATCTCTTACGGTTTGGCCGCTGAAACAGCACCACAGACGGACGGACGGACTTGTCTAATAGATAAGAGATACGTTAACTTAGAGTATGTCTTTCCCCTAAGAAGAAAAATATAATAATGCGCCTGCTGCTTTCCCGTGCAAATACTTAAATTCTATCGAGATTAGGTTCTTTCACAATCGCACATCAAACGCGCTTAGGGTTGTCACCCATACTTTATTATAAAGTATTGTAGGTTATTTCGGGTTATTGTACTCTACACTTTATGCCTACAATAAAGTCCGCAAAAATACTTTATTTAATGTGGTTTGATTGCTCGGGGATAATTTTGCATAAAATATACAAAAAGAGATTGATAGGAAGAATTTTTGCGCCCTTAGCTCAATCTTGCAACATTGTAGTGGCTGTATGGCTTTGTACTATGGCCTTTCCCGTTGCGGAAAAGAACTACAAATTTTAGCAGCAACAAATTATTTATTAAAAGTTGCTACAAAGCAACGTAATAGTTATTTATTATACAAGAGTGGAAAGTTCCTTTTTAACCGCGTGCTCGATTTGGATGACCGAGCAAGCGAAGGATTCTAAAGTTGAATCACGAGCGCAGCGAGTGATTCTAAATTAGAATCCTGAGCGTCAGCGAGGGAAACAAACGAGCACAAGGTGAAAAATCTTTCCACTCGAGTGCAATACGTAACTTTTCATCCCACCTCAGCGAGGAAATGACAAAATGAAAAAGAAAACAATTTATAATGACAAAATATTTAAGCAATAAAACGTGAAAAACTAGAATGGCGCGAAGCACGCAAATAAAACAAAGAAACCAAGAAGGTTCCAAATTTAAATTTTTTCACAATTTAAAAAGTTCTAATCATAAATTTGGCACCATAGAGGTTACATTAAATAGGTTTAATGACGTTTTGAATTTACAATTATATTGAGTACTCATTATATGTGATGTTCTAAATTCAAATCTACTTTGCCGCTCAAGCGAATAAAATAGAATTTTCCAGCCAGATTTCGAAGCGCAAAATTACACTTTCCGAGGTGGTGGGATGAAAAATATATTATTAAGCTTACGAATAAAGTGAAATAAAAAGTACTTTATTATGGACACAATGTACTTCTTTTTCACGTTTTAATATCCAATGTAATTTATTTGGACAAAACAAAGGTGGCAACCCTAAACGCGCTTAACCACTGTGCCATCGCGCTTCTTATCACTTCTATGACATTGGAGCTCCCATCTGGTGATGTAACTTACACCTTACAGAAAACAATAAAATAACACTAGCTTTTGGTGGTATTGTGTTTCTGTCGGTGAGTAATGTTCGAAGGCTCCACGGGGTATCCCGCGGCTTCGCATTAAGCAGTGTAGAAGGTATTCGCAGGATTTTTTTAGCGGATATTATTCCGTAAAGCGCCCGTAAGAGTTGCGGGATCCTCGGTGGGCAGCCACTGGGGGTCCGTAAGACATGCGGGGGACAGGTGTGAGGTCCATTCGGCGGTGTGCCTCTTAAAGGCGCCGTCTTCTGTAAACAGCATTTTTTATCTGCGTTAAAAAAAAGGGCTCCACGGGGTAAGGGATTAGGTCAGGGTAGGCAACAGTGCGAGTGATTTTTATGGCCGCTTACCATCAGGCGGGCCACATGCGAGGCCATGGCCACCCATCTCCGAAATGCCATTTGTCATTCGATGAATGCGGGGGTTAGAGTACGAGGCCTTGAATATAAATTAAGTGGGGTCAGAAGTTTTGTCAGAGCTATACAACCATTTAACAACATTAATGTGCTTTTTACACCTTCTAATGATTTTGAAATTAACGCCAGCTGTTGAGACAGAGGAGAAATCTTCATTTGTTTCATCTATTGGTTTGTGCCGAGTGGTTATATTGCAGCTTCACTTATATAATAATATACGTGTTAAAGTAAGATTAACTTTAAATTTCAAAGGCACTATCACTATATTCCTTAGTTTAAATGGTGTCTGCATTTTCAATGATTGTATAAATAAAATCAATGTCTATTTCGTCCAGTTTTTACTAAAAAAATGTTGTTAAGAAGAACGGGCGCAAGAAACTCATCAGCATTTAATGTTTCATCATCATCATCAGCTGCTGCTGGGGCACAGGCCTTCCCTATGGATGGAATAGGGAGATTGGGCCATGACCCACCACGCGGGCCCAGTGCGGGTTGGTGGGTGCTAACGACTGCAGATTCAGCCGGGACCAACTGCTTAACGTGCCTTCCGAAGCACGGAGGAGCTCGAGATAGTAAATTTTTGGTCACCCATCCAATGACCGACCACTGCGAAAGTTGCTTAACTTCAACGATCGACTCCATATTCAATGTTTATTTTAGACGAAACTAACTGGCCGGGCCTGAACTGCAAGGAAGGAGGCAAGAGGCAGTCCCCCATCGACATCCGGACCACTGACGTCATCAAAGACTACACGAAGAAATTCATCAAGTATGGCTCCCTCAAGCTGAACGGCTACCACCGAGTGCTGGTCTCCGGGATTAACAATGGACATACTGGTAACGTCATTATAAAAGACCCGATAAATAAATAAATAAATAAATATAAATATTTCCAACACTCACACCAATTAGCCTGGCCCCAAGGTAAGCACTATAAGGCTTGTGTTATGGGAGCTTGTGTCTGGGTAATGGATAGAATACGTACTGTACATATACAAGCATATTTTTATAGAAATACATATAAAACATCCATGACTGGAGTACAAATGCTCGTATTCATCACACAAACATCTGCCCCCACCGGGCGACACCCTGAACCCGGCGTACAAACCACTCGGCCACGGAGGTCGTCATAAAATTATTCCACCCTGAAGTTGAATGTAACCAGAATCCAAGTGCCAATGTAACTGATACTATTTGTTTCTTAGGCTTTCACGAACACCACTCATTAAATTAAAATAAATCAATTTTCAACGGTACAGTCGTCAGAACTAACGAAAATTAATTGTGATTACGCAACCTGTAAAGAATGCGAAACGTCATAGATAAATCAGTGCATCTATACCTTGAAACTTGTTTAACTTTTATGTAACTGATACTACTACTATAAAGAGCCTGTTCAGTGTCACTCTATGCCAGAGCTTCCCAAACATTTTTTGCGTGATTGAATAACAAATAGTAAAAACTAGTTTTATGGGAATATCAAAGGAGTCTTATATAATTAATATATAAATATTATGTATTTTTATAATAGTAACTATTGTTTTTGTTTTGTAAGTAATCTGTAACTAATGTTATCCACGGGAACTCTGCCGACAAACAAATAACTATAAATTCACATTAAATAATTATTGTGAGCTATATTAGCGGAGATCAAACATTCATTCTAAACGAGACTTTTACTATAACCCGCATTTTTTTTTCTTTTGCATTGTTAACAACAATGTCAAAGAAAATGAACGTGAGGTATTTGAAAACCTTCGGCGGTCAAAAATAACAAAATGAAATCGTAATCGATAGCGTTTTCCAAAACAATCTGGTTAGGCGATTGGCCCCGTGAGCGCAGAGCGCACAATGCCCCCATTTTTTTCTGGATCTCTTACCCGCCCCGTCTCGTACCCCCTTTTGGCCTGGCTGCTCTTTGCTATAGGTACAACAAATTAACTGAACTAGTACCAATATTAGTAATAATTTGTAATAATAAGGATATCAGTTATTATTGGGTGAGCAAATTTCCTACAAATCGCATAATTATACTTAGATAAAATTATCGAACAACTAATCTGTACGTTTCTGTTTTGTGTAACAATTAACTTAATAATTTATGATTAATTACCAACCAACAACAATGGGAAACGTTTACTTTTAATCGGTTGAGGTAATTTTAAGTTTCCACTCGTTACCACATGCGTAAATATTGATATTGATCAATTCAAAACAGGCCTTTTACTGTAGGTCTCTGTGTGATCGTTTCCTGCAATTAAAAGACAGTCATACCCATAAAAACCTACGAATATGTAAAGTGTTAATTGTAAACTCCTTGCTGATCGATTTTGTACTTAGTACATCTAATACATAAAATTCTCGTGTCGCGGTGTTTGTGGTTAAACTCCTCCGAAACGGCTTTCCCGATTCTCATGAAATTTTGTGTGCATATTGGGTAGGTCTGAGAATCGGACAACATGTATTTTTCATCCCCCTAAATGTTAAGGGTAATCCACCCCTAAATTTATTTTTTCAATTTTAGATATTTATTTTTTTTATGATACAGCATTAGTAAATAGATATAACCCTGAATTTTCAACCCTCTACCACCAACCCTTATTTTTATGGCGGTACGAAGTTCGCTGGGTCAGCTAGTCTTATATATAAAATTCTCGTGTCACAATGTTAGTTACCTTACCATACTCCTCCGAAATGGCCTGACCGATTTTTATGAAATTTTATATGCATATTCCGTGGGTCTGAGAATCGGCTAATATCTATTTTTCATATTCTTAAGTGATAATGGTTGTCCGCCTATAACGTACTGTTCTGAAACCTACAATGCGCCTTCGCACCAAAATTCAAACTATTGGGTATTGTAACGTAGAGTTCTCATATGGGTTAGGAGGAATGTTATCCCAGGAAATTAACAGAACACTACGTTACACACCCCTAAATTTTTTTTGGCAATATTTATTTTTTTATAATGTGTTTTTAATAAAAAATACATACAACCCTAAATTTTCTCTTCTACCACCTGCCCCTAATTTTAAGGCGGTACGAAGTTCGCTAGTTTTTGTTTTTGTTTTGTGTAACTTGTTACTTCATAATTTATGGTTAATTATGAAGTGACAAGTTTACGTATTACGTATACGTAATAACGTAACGTAGTATACGTAAGTTTAAGTATTTAGTTTTTATTGACGACCTCCGCGGCCGAGTGGTTTGTACGCCGGGTTTCATGGTGTCGCCGACTCGAGAGGTCCTGGTTTCGAATCCCGGTGGGGGCAGATGTTTGTGTGATGAATACGAGCACTCCAGTCATGGATGTTTAAAATGTTATTCTATATAAATATACTTATATATGTACAGTATATGTATTCTATCCGTTACCCTAGTATCCCATGATACAAGCCTTATCGTGCTTACTTTGGGGCTAGGCTAATTGGTGTGTGTTTAAAAAGAAAAAAGAATTACCAATAGGTATGGGAAGCGTTTAATTTTAACCGGATGAGGAAGTTTCAGTTTCTACTCATTACCACATGCGTAGCTATTGATATTGGTTAAGCCTTGGTCCTTTGGCCTTTGGTCATTGGTGTAAACTCGTTGCTGATCGATTTCGTACTTAGTACATTTTTTTATAAGTTTTTGTTTTGTGTAACTTGTTACTTCATAATTTATGGTCAATTACCAACGACGTAATCGTTGATATGGGAAGCGTTTAATTTTTACCGGATGAGGTAATTTTCAGTTTCTACTCATTACCACATGCGTAGATATTGATACTGGTTAAGCCTTTGGTCCCGGCTGTATCTGCATCCAGACTGGATTCGCGTGGTCGGTCATGGCGCAATCTCTATTTACCATCCATGCTGTGCCCCAGCAGTAAGCGCAGCGTTAAAAGGCTTGCGTTTTAACTGCGTTTTGTTGCTACCATGATCACAGACCAAACCTTCTTTCTCGAGAGTAGCTACGTGTAAAGACGACTGGAAATTTGTTATTAGTGCAATTCAGCACTGAAGGCGAAGAGGCTATCCACCCCACGGTGACAGGAGGCCCCCTGGAGCACCGCTATCGGCTCGAGCAGCTGCACTTCCACTGGCTGTCCGAGCACTCCGTCAACGGGAATAAGTTAGTATTAAGGCTCTACTTCTCCTTTACTACCTTTTTTTTTGACGGTGGAAAATGTGTTTATGCACCATACCGCGCGCTTGCCAGGCGCGCGACGTATGTGGGACTCCCCGGCGCGGAACAACGCCGGTCCTACCCACTAAAAACCACCGGTACCCTCCTCGGCCCTTATGAGGGCGCTTTGGGATCGGCGCACCTACGTGCGCCACTACACCAGAGCGTCCTCGGGCTGGCCCGGCCCAACGAGTGGACCGGGCGACGCGCCTATGGGGGATTACTCTAGGGTACTAGGTAATCCCCAGACGGGGTGGCCTATGCCGAATGGCACCAAGGACGCGCGGCTGGCATGCCGCGCCCAGACCACCTTCCTCTCTAATTCCCACACTACGGCAACAAGTTAGTATTATGTATTAAGGCCCTTCTTCTTCGCTTTTATGCTTTTCATTACGAGACGCATCAATTCCCCCCACCTTACCTAAGATTAAGTGTCAATAACAAAAGATTCCAATTAGGTAAGTAATTAATTGTGCCAGAAAAATCTTGCAGCTATCCTCATATTTCTGGCTTGAACGCAATCCTCTACCATGTACATCCCTGGAATCTAACAAGTATAACACAAGCAAAATCCAGCACGGCACCGCCGAGAACACTTTTAGAATATTTCAGATCATTCAAATTCTAAAATCTACTAAGTTATGCAGTTTGATTTAGTGCACCATTGATAAAGTCACGCATGCTTCCTCCAGAGACAGCAATAGACAATAAGATCCTCTGTTTAGATTTATTTATAATAAATTATGAAGGATTCGTGTAAAGTCTCAAAAACCCTGTATATACCCTCCGCAGAACAGTTCTTTCTGTTCTGTAATCCCCCCGAACCTATTTATCGACTATATTGTCCATGCTGGCATGCTTCACTAAACTAAAAACTAAATATAACAATTCTGTATAGAGAATGACAAGAATAGGTACACTGTTGTCAAATTTAAGTTTAGGTTCAGAGAACCCTGGGCCCTGCCAGAATCGACATCTATATCTAGGTGAGGTTTAGTTTTAGGATGTTACACTGTTCTTAAACACTTAACATAACTTAGCATGTAACTGAATTAAATATTATTTCGCCAGGTACCCCATGGAGATACACTTCGTACACGTCAGAGCCGACCTGGCAGTGGGCGACGCACTCGGCAGTAAGGACGGCCTGGCAATACTCTCTGTTTTCTGCAATGTGAGCTGCATATATTAACATAAATATTGCATCATTATTAATCAGCCATCGGCCCACTGTTGAGCATAGGCCTCTTCCAAAAAACTCCACGTCGATCGGTCCTGAGCTATCCGAATCTAGTAGCTTTCCGCGACCTTCACTAGATCGTCGATCCACTAAGTGTCGTCCGGCGCGAGATCGCCACTTCCTTGAAGAATCTTTCCGCCTCTTATATATTTAATTTCATCTCCTCCTCCTGCTCTGCAACTAAACCAAACCCCAGAAGAGGAGCAAAAATTAAAATGGATAGATAAATAGCTTCATGTTATACCTTTATGTGGTTGACAGAGCACAGATCAGTGTCTGAGACACGGGTTTAAGATCAATCTTGTTCTACCTTCTATTCTGTGATTTTACTGACCTATCTCAACCGTGATAATACATAATAAGGACACAGTTTACATCTCTGGTTACAAAAGAAAAGGCAGGCAGATGGAGCGCAGGGCCCGATCCAAGGGGGGGCGAGCCGGGCATTTGCCCAGGGCGGCAAAAATTAGGGGCGGCAAATTGACTTAGGGTCAGCCGTAAAGTACGTCACTAAAAGGCGACAAACATCTTTGCCCGGAGCGGCAAAATTTCTAGATCAGGCCCTGATGGAGATTTGGAGCCGGGATACTGTACACGTACACTCAATACGTGCCATCAAAGCAAATATGAAGTCAAGAGTACATGCTTTTTTTTCTTTTTCTCGAGACGTATTCATAACACGATGCGTTGTGGTGTACTGACGCGAGTTGATAGTCTCTTTCGACTTCGTATTTGCTATGGTGCCACGCATTACGTGTTTCGTGCGGTCCATCTGCCTTTTGTTCTGTAATCTGAGTTTTACAAATCTTTTTTGGTTAACAATTCAATAAATTATGTTGTCAAGGTGCAAGCGGAACTGGACGATCGCCAAGAAGAGGCGTCTGCAGAAATAATGCAGTACATCCCGAAGCTGCTGGACACTGGAGACCGTATCAGCGGAGTCCTGTTGGATATGACGTGAGTACCCGTTGGAAAAACATATCGACAAAAAGAAAGTCTGTACAGATTTGTGATGGAGTATCTATTCCTACTTCTATTAATTGCGTTCAAATCTCTGTTTAGGGGCCTTACGCGGTATTAATTGATTGATTGATGACGGTGCTAACTAAGCCTTTTTCAAATGACTCATTTATAGCAAAAGCTTAAGTAGGTAGGTACCTAATATTCCGTAAACGGTCGATAACATTTTATGAAAATAACATTTGTTTCGTGAGAGTAATCGATATCAACTTCAATATCGGCTGTCCAAATTAATATTAAGTAGGAAATAAGGTAACTTTGTTAACCAATTACCCTGAAATTACACATCAGTTAAACCCTTTAACTGGACGTAATGATGACCCAGATTCCCACGATCCATCCAGACATTGTAAAAAGAAAGAACTGCGGAAGAGGTCTGTCAAATTTGATTTTAAGAATGATGCTATGACGTCATCACTTTAATTCGATTAAACCTGATCCTAGGAAGCTGATGAGCCCGAACCTGGGATCCTATTACACGTACGCTGGGTCGCTGACCTCACCGGAATGCAACGAAGCAGTCATCTGGATCATATTCGACACACCAATATATTTCTCGGATTCTGACGTGAGTAAACTTTTGTTACTCGACAGTGCTGGAGTGAACGTTTACACAAATTGATTTAATTTATAAACTACAGTAGAGTAGTAGTACCTAGGGGGTGGCATACTCGCATATGGTCCGCCTGATAATAAGCGGTCACCATAGCTAGGGGATCGATATATATATATCGATAGGGGATAGCCCAAGATCGATCTGAGTGGCGTGCATTTGGAGAGGCCTATGTCCAACAGTGGACTAAGATAGGCTGTTGATGATGATGATGATGATAGCTAGGGATGATACCCGTACTTTATTAAGTATTGTACGTTATTTCGGGTAATTGTACTCTATACTTTAAGCCAACAATAAAGTACGCGAAAATACTTTGTTTAATGTGATTTTTAATAGGAAAAATTTTCGCGTAAAACAGACAGAAAGTATGAATATGTTGCCCTTAGCTAATTCCTGCAACATTTTCGTGGCTGTATGCCTTTGTATCATGACCTTTTCCATTGCGGAAAAAAACTACATAAGCCGCAAATTATTTATTAAAAGTTGCTAGTAGGATCGTAAAATATATTTTAAGCTTACTAATAAAGTGGAATAAAAAGTACTTTATTTTGGACACAATGTACTTTTTTCTACCTTTAATATCCAATGTACTTTATTTCGACAAAAAAAGGTGGCAACCCTAACCATAGCCTATAGACCAGGGGTGGTCATAGTCATCGTGATTGACCGGTCAATCATGACTGTTAGGTTAGTCGATGGTGGCAAGGCAAATAATATATAAATAAATAGAACAGACTGCGCATCGTAATCACCAACTGCTGTAAGGATCTTTATCCTCTCTTCTATAGTGATATCCAAGAAATGGATACAATTTTTTAGATAAGTACATTTCAAATGGACCTCATGTAATAATTACTCTGCGCTCTGTTATATTAATAAATATAGTTACTAAGGCTAATAATATTCAGTTTTATGTTTGCTCTCTTAACCCTAGATAGCTAACGTTCGTCAAAATGACGAACATCTAATAAATATCCTTCTCTCCCTTTCTAACGGTTTTACCTACACACTCGCGGTTTCGCGCCAATTCAGTGGCTGCTAGAACACGTCACGTGGTGGTCGCGTTTAGCCGGTAAGTACTTTTGTTTTTGAGATACCTACTGCATGCTCGTCATTTTGACGAATGGTTAGCTTATGCGTAACTTTTATACCTGTACTTTGTTTTGATTTTTACTTTGTTTTTTTTTAGTTATAACGTTGATAGTGAAGAATGGCTGCAAAGTTCATCACTGATGACGAAATAGTTCGTGCGTTAGGTGATGAAGATTATATCAACACAAATGATGTTTTTGAACCATGAGCAACGCGATGAAGGTCATGGTCAAATTCCTGTGCAATCTGACTCTGGAAGTCATCTGATTCCTGAAAATGCCTCGACAAGAAAAAGGAAAAGCTGTAGTTTGTGTTCATACAAGAAAAGGCGTATGACAAAAAATCACTGCAATAGTTGCAAAGTTCCCATTTGTGGCGAACATACAGTTGACTTTTGCCCAACTTGTGCTAAAAAAATTCAAGTCATTTGATATTACGGTTAATTTTAAGGTTTTTTTCTATATAGTACCAAAAAAAAATATAATCATTATCTTAAAAATAGTTCCTAATTAGTCATTGTAAGATTTAGAGCTTATTGATCTCAAAGAAACGTACGTGCCATTTTATATTTGTGATTTAGTATTAAAAGTTAAATAAATATTCATTTTTATAATAATTATCTTTTAATTCATATCCCATATTTCCTATAAATAAAATAAACCTAATTAAAATAAAATAAAACTTTAATAAAACAGACTTTAAAAAAATGATCGTCAAAAAGTCGAATGGTTAGCTTAACATAGATCTTCAGGAACGTTAGCTATGTAGGGTTAATAAAATAACAAAATACTACATAATTGTATGCTGAACTGTGCTGTGTGTTTCATTTAAGATTTCAAGAAGTATGTAATTGGTAAATTGCACGGGGTTTCAACAGTAAACAGTAGATCTTCGGTCTAATCAAAACTCCTGTCTGTGGAAGTGGCGGTTTTCTGCCACGCATACACGGTACAATATTTAGTTAAAGAAAAGATAAATAGAAAGAAGATGCACAAAACTATTTAAGATTGTTTTAAAACATTTAAGTAGCTTCAGTAGAACACGCAAAATAACAATTACTGTAAAGCGCGGGGACCACAAGTAGTTGCCAGATGGCGGATGATGTAAAGCGCGGGAACCACAAGTAGTTGCCAGATGGCGGATGATATAAAGCGCGGGAACCACAAGTAGTTGCCAGATTGCGGATGATATAAAGCGCGGGAACCACAAGTAGTTGCCAGATTGCGGATGATATAAAGCGCGGGAACCACAAGTAGTTGCCAGATTGCGGATGATATAAAGCGCGGGAACCACAAGTAGTTGCCAGATGGCGGATGATATAAAGCGCGGGAACCACAAGTAGTTGCCAGATTGCGGATGATATAAAGCGCGGGGACCACAAGTAGTTGCCAGATGGCGGATGATGTAAAGCGCGGGAACCACAAGTAGTTGCCAGATGGCGGATGATATAAAGCGCGGGAACCACAAGTAGTTGCCAGATGGCGGATGATATAAAGCGCGGGAACCACAAGTAGTTGCCAGATGGCGGATGATATGAAGCGCGGGAACCACAAGTAGTTGCCAGATGGCGGATGATATAAAGCGCGGGAACCACAAGTAGTTGCCAGATGGCGGATGATATAAAGCGCGGGAACCACAAGTAGTTGCCAGATGGCGGATGATATAAAGCGCGGGAACCACAAGTAGTTGCCAGATGGCGGATGATATAAAGCGCGGGAACCACAAGTAGTTGCCAGATGGCGGATGATATAAAGCGCGGGAACCACAAGTAGTTGCCAGATGGCGGATGATATAAAGCGCGGGAACCACAAGTAGTTGCCAGATTGCGGATGATATAAAGCGCGGGGACCACAAGTAGTTGCCAGATGGCGGATGATATAAAGCGCGGGAACCACAAGTAGTTGCCAGATTGCGGATGATATAAAGCGCGGGAACCACAAGTAGTTGCCAGATGGCGGATGATATAAAGCGCGGGAACCACAAGTAGTTGCCAGATTGCGGATGATATAAAGCGCGGGAACCACAAGTAGTTGCCAGATGGCGGATGATATAAAGCGCGGGAACCACAACCTACCTGCGAGGGGCGACAGAAGCGTGCCATATAAAGGCATTGTTTGATGTCCATTTTCTTACATAGATGAGAGGTTGTAAATAAGGTCTAACCACTAGTTTCTCCCTAGTACCGCAAGTTCGGCAAGGTGGGCGTCGGACGGCACAACTTCCGCAGTCTGCAACGGCTCAACCACCACCTGGTGTTCCAGCCGGTCGACTCGCACATCAACACGCCGCAGATCGTCAGAATATTCGACGAAGCCTTCAAAATGTTCGCGGAATTCTTCAGAAACATCAATGCGTGAGTTAAATTTTTGTAAGGCGCTCGATGAAGCAATGGTAACTGCTGTTGGAGCTGAGATTGGCGCAAAATAGGATGGGTGTGTAAAAAACTTACTATCTTATATTCCTCCGTATTGTGGATTTATCTACACTTGTAAAAACCCACCGTAATGATTTGTGGCCGTAATCCTTGTTCTGTCCATAATCTAATATATAAAAAATTGCTTGGTTTTCTTAATATGTGTAATATTAAGAAAAACAATAAGCATTTTTTTTAAGTATTTATTTAGTACCGACAGTGCTCTTGGTTTAAACTATACTACATTCCAAGATAATTTCAATTTAGAAAACCATCAAAAGTATACATTAGTAGTTACTAGAGGAAATTGGACACGGTCGTTAGGGTTGCGGTAGAATAATGCTCAGTGCTTCCGTCCGAACAGCGGAAGGTGCGGGTTCGAGTCCCACCTGCTGCCTGGCTCACGTGGATCTTTTAGTTTTTTTTTTGATGGTCTGCTTCGTCAAAAAAAAATTACCTAATGACCGTGTCCAATTTCCTCTAGTAACTAACTACTAATGTATATATACTTTTGATGGTTTTCTAAAGGTCTTTGGACTTTTTCTAGTAACATTTTCTTCTTAAGTTTGGAAGTTCCCACTGCCCACCAAGTTCAAATAAATGTTTGTAGATAAGTACCGTTTCGCGTCACGATAGGGGATTTTTTACTGTCTGTGACATTGAAAAAGATAGTCTTCTCATTTTAATGCTTCCTGCGATTGTTGGTACGGCGCCTGGGAATAACCCATAGGAATAACCGCAATTCAGTGAATAAGCGCTTTAAACCCTCGTTTACACCAAGGAACAAGTCTTTATAACATTCTTTCCCTTGCACAGCAAAAGTCAAAATATCTTTATTCAAAATTGGATGCAAAATACAACTCTTTTGACTCGTCCATAGTTTTTTCCCTACCACCATTTTTTTAGCTGTGGAGAAAAACTGGCAAAATAACTTCATAGCGTTAAATATTTATGTAGCAATATTTACAAAAAAATATATTGTTACGGTGTCAATACAAAATCATTTCATCTTCATCATAATTATTATAGAAAATGCCTGCCGGAACGTTTGGAACAGTTAAACCCTAGCATTTTTGTCTGAAATATAATCAGACATATAACAAGAAAAAATTTCACGCGGTCCAGACAGCAGACGCACAGTGTGTTATGACTTTATGAGACCATAAAATCGGACATTCTCATTTATTTGATGAATCGTTTAGAGCTCAATTATGCAAATATGATAGAAAAACTCTCGTTTGAAAATTCCACTTAGTTTTCGAGATATAAAAATTCAAAAGTTAGTTATTTTTTTCTTTTTAAAAAATGAAAAACAGTCTTACTCGTAAACTAATAACATTTAATTTAGAGCCGTTATAGTACTTCATAGAACTCTTAAAACTACACGTAATAAGCGTTTAAAGTGTTTTGTAAATGCTTACAGTTAAATAAAAAAAATACTTTTTGTTATTTTTGTTTTTATTTTTTTTCTCCATTATACTATAATATATGCAAACTTTTTTAATCGCAAGATATAGTCTGATATTTATTCTAGTTGTATAAAAAAAATCAGCATTAAATTTCGTGGCATATTTGAGAAAAAACAAATTGAAAATATGCACCAGGGCTGTCACATAGAATTGTAAATTTCTTATAACTTTTTAAAAGCAATATTTCTTTTGGAGGTTTAAATGTTTTATTAAAATCACACATATTAAGATTGAATCTTGTGTTTGATTATAGACAATGCCATAGAGGACAAAGTTCGAATGTCGGTGGAAAATACTTTAGCCCAGTAAAATTAGCTTTTAACCTTGGAATAGGAAGCGAGACATTTATGAAAAACCCATTCTCATAAATATCTCGCTCCCTATTCCTATCTTTTCCCGTTCGACCTTAAATAACTTAAGACGCAGAAACAAGATCTTTTAGGATTATAAGATCTATGAGGTAACCTTAAAATGTCAAAACATAGATTTATAAAAAATATCAGCTTATTATCTTTCTTCCCGAGATTTGACCCTCTTTTTGAGCTAATTTTATTGGATCTCAAAAAGCTTAATCTATTGATCGATATTAGTTTTTTTCTGATGAAGGAAAATAAATGGGAGCGGGAAGGGGTCCACCCTCTTTAGGTATTTAATTTACCAAAACGAATGAAGACGATGTCGATATTACAGAACAATGTATCGAAGATCAGGTCGAAGACCCACGTGATGATACAACAGTCCTATCATGTGAAAATAACATTTTTATCCTCTGAAAATAAATTTACATTAATATAAAATAAAAATTTAAAAACAACTGCAGGCGCCGAATATGAATTTTTAGACCTTTAAATACTATGAATATAACAGGTGGGATTCAATTAGTATTTTTATTTGTAACTTTTTACACATAAATTTATCCCTTCTAAATGTGTCAACCCTAGACGCGTAAAAATTTTGTGAATAGGTTTATTTTTTTTTCTCAAATATACTACGGAATTTAAAGCTGTTTTTTTTATACAACTAGAATATATATCAGACTATATCTTGCGATTGAAAAAGTTTGCATATATTATGGTATAATGAAGAAAAAAATAAAAACAGAAATAACAAAAAATTTTTTTCTAATTAACTGCAAGCGTTTACGAAGCACTTAAAACGCTTATTACGTGTAGTTTAAAGAGTTCTATGAAGTACTGTAACGTTTCTAAACAAAATGTTATTAATTACAGAGTAAGATTGTGTTTTTTTATTTTTAAAAAAGAAAAAAAAATATTATTTTTCAATTTTTATATCGCAAACACTACGTGGAATGTCCATACCACCCATCGTAACCTGAACATACAAATAAAAAATGGGTGCGTGTACTTATGTAGGCGCGTGAGAAGTTATCCTTCTTTGGCATCGTTTAAAATTAGTTTTTAATTGCATGCAAATAATTAATTACAATAAATTAATAAAAAGTCTGGAAAAGGACGAAGTCAATAAAGTTCAGTTTTAATTTGAAAAAATAAATAAATAATCAAAATGTTCAATTAAAATCGCTACTGAATATAATTTATTAGAACATATGTGATTTGCACTTGTATGAAACTCAAACACGTATTCCGAATATACAAACTAGAAACATGTGGATAAATATTATAAATATGAATACCTATAGCTGTTACTTTATTACAAAAAATAACACCAATGGTTCAACTACACCAATGGTCAAGAGATGGCGCTGTAGTCTCCTGAATCGCGCTTTGGTTCCGTTGTTCCAGATTAATAAATACTTTTGATAGGCCTTCACAATGCAGTCGTTAGCACCCACTAAATAGAGATTCTATATCTATTTTGTTGGTAGATTTTCTTAATGTGCGGTAAACACAAAAGTAACGCATGAATTTGGTCGCTAAAGCGACATTATGTTAATCATTATGTTAAAATTTTGTGTTACAGTGATGCGCGCGCATCTTAAAATTTCACTCTCATCATTTTTTCATAACGCGCCTAAAGAAGTATAACTTCAAAAATATTTAATAACTTAACTATTACATAAAATTTTTGCTGCCATATTGCAAAGCACGCCAGCCTCCTCCGATAGGGGGTTAGCTAGGATGGCCCATTCTTCTTATCAGCTAAAAGATATCGGTAGGAAAAAAATATTCGACGATTCAGAAGAGCTTTCAACAAGTCAATTATTTATGCCTAAACAGTAGGACACGGCATTCTTAAACATTCCTTAACTTTGTTAAATCAGTGTTTGATATTTTTTATTTTATAGTCAATATTTTTTATATCATTTACATTTGTAATGGAAAGTGACTTTATGAGTTATCTCATATTGAAGTCATTTTTCAATTTGACGACTCTTTATATAATACAGGGAAAAAACAGCCCTTGCTGAGTTTCTTGCCGGTTCTTCTCAGTACAAGGTCTCCCGCCGTAGATTTGCGAACCGATGGCGTAGCTTTTCGATATTCACAAGTGCTTGTAACAGTTTAGACTAAATAAACGATATTGAATTTAAAATTTTTAGAATTTTCAATTAGAATAAAGTATAATTTAATTTCTCACTTCTAAAATTAATCATTATTCCGTTGCAGATTCATGTCAAACGGACTGAGAACATCATAGGGTAATGAAAGTAGAACATCCAGGAATGCAGACTCTAGATAAACATTTTATTACCGTGTAAATGCAATAATTCAGTCGAGAAGTTCAATACAAATTTATCTTTGTCTACTTTTAATGGATTCAAAATGGCGGCGATTAACAGGGGTACCCATAGCATGCAACAAAAATATAATTTTACTCTTAATATTTGAGGGACTGTTATCTTACTACTACTAAGATATCACTGCTATAGGGCGCGGCAAACTTCTTGAGCATAGCCACAGACAAATAAACTTGCGCAGTAGACGTTATTGTATGTAAAATTGCTGCAACGCATGCTTACTTGTCTATGGTCGTTGCTCAAGAAGTTTGCTGGGCTGTATACCCATGCGGGCATATAAGATTATAGACAGCACTACCGTGAAGTGAGAGGCAAATATGAGCGCATGCGCCGCCATGTTTTGACCCTAATTTCAGACCAAATTTTAAGGAGTATACTGCAGAAATCATTGTTGTGTAAAAATAAGTTTAGTTTTTAAGAAATTTTAGACAATAAAAGAAGCGTTGTTGTACAATTTATCTTTTTATTTAAATAATATTAACAACTATACAAACTTTCATGTACACAGTCGCTCGCCGATCATTAACATAACAATGAATGGAGGGTTTATGTTAAGTATAGATTAGTTATACAACTTCATGTAATAAACTTACGTTACACGTAACATTGTTTTTTTTTTGCAAAATAATAAAGGTAGATTCACATTAGTGTACGTTTGCACACAGCAAGCGCGTACAGGAGTCCATTTTTGCCGGCACTTGGCTATTCGTGTTTGCTATTTGTAAACTTTACAAAACCTAGTCATTTTCATTCCTTTTATACCATGATAAAGACAGACTGTTGTCAAGTTTACAAATAGCAAATACGAATAATACCAAGTGTAATGTCGGCATAATAAGTTATCCTCCGCAACATTTGTAGCTTTATTATTACGTTTTTGTTAAGTAACCTTTCGTCCTATAGTTGTTTTAAATGCATTTCTAAGTCTACAAAAAGTATAATTACCGTTTTGACGTCATAGCATAGATAAATCTATACACTAAAATGGCCGACAGCGTTTTTGTATGTCCATGAAAAATCTATTTTAAAATTGAAGTTTTGTAGCTTTCTAATTCCAAACAAATCATATTTTTTCTCTCTAATAGACGAATTATTAACCATTTAAAACATATTTCCAAAAAGTGTCAACTAGCCTATTGTAATGACGAAATTATGATTATTTTAAAATATGTTACTAACGACAGGGTTGTAGGACGACCTTAGTCTCTGTGTTTGGCAGATTCGGAATTTAAAAGCCCACATTAGCTTCTGTAATTTCTGTAATATAAGCACAATATTTAACTAACAAACACATCACATTTAACTTTTAATGTAAATCTACCTTATTAGGTGGCAAATAATTATATCTGCCATGATAATGATATAGAACCGTAAGGGCTTCTCCCTCTTGGTGAGTTATTATCGGTCGATAATATCGGATGCATTATTGCGATATCTGTTTTTAGTTCATTATGTATGAGAACAGCTACGAGGTTACACACTGCTGGGATCATATCGACGAAATAGAAGCGAGACAAAATATCTTAATAACCATCCTTGTCTTTTGATTAAAGAAAATAGAAATGGCGAGTAATAAAGTATAATTTATAAACAATTTAAAAATATTTTAACCACAAATTCCACAATAAATAAATATTTTTAACACTCACACCAATTAGTCTAGCCCCAAAGAAAGCACTGTAAGGCTTGTGTTATAGGATGCTAAGGTAACGGATAGAATACATATACTGTACATATATAAGTATATTTATATAGAAATACATATTTAACATCCATAACTGGTGTACAAATACTCGTATTCATCACACAAACATCTGCCCTCACCGGGGTTCGAACCCAGTATGTCTCGAGTCGGCGACACCATGAAACCCGGCTTACAAACCTCTCGGCCACGGAGGTCGTCAATAATGTACAGAGATAACCAATCATTACGTAAGTTTAACAACATTAAGTTCTATAACATTACAGTAAGATACTATTGTATGATATTTGCTTATATACGCACCTAGGTAGAGCAATCCAAATAAGCCACGCAATGAAAACGGCTCAAGTCACGCGCAATATGTGCGCGACCTAGTCTTGCCAGATAGCTGGGAAATCCAGGATTATCCCGGAATTTTGCGTCTTGTCTCGTGTCACGTAATAGGGATGATGACTATTTTTTTTCTTCGTTTATTGGGTAGATTATCAAAAAGTATTGGACACGTATTTTTTTATATTGATTTGAAAAGTCGCATGACGTCACGTTTTGGTACAATTTTCACTTAAAAGTGACGTCACGAGCCCCTACTCCCAAACTTTGACGCGCTATAACTTTGTCATTTTTGGTTGATTGCCCAAAGAAAAAAATACGTGCCCATCATTTTTTGATCATCTAACTGACGGACTAAATAGAATTTCGTTTACTGTACCCCGTCAACACCCCTATTAGACCTATTGTCCCCGGATTCCGATAATGTGCTAATTTCGTAACAAAATAAACTAATAACGAATGACACCGCTAGCCTGCTTGATGTTTTAATTCTGGCGAGTAATGGGGGGTTTGGATTTGATGCTTTATTTTTCAGGGGGGGGGGGGTGCAATATCCCGGAACTGATAAGCCAGCATCTGGAAACCCTAGCGTGACTCTTAATGTCTAATTGTTTTGAAAGCAGGCAACGTGTGCGTGCGTAAAAACGAGCGTATCTACCATATTTAGTAGATATTTTTTTGGATGCTTCTGTGTATTTGATACAGTATCTAGGCATGTATATATTCAGTGAATGGTATTATAAGTTCACCTCCTGTAAGGTTATTGCAAGTACTTTTATTACATGACAACGGGAAACTGTATTCACATTTCAGCCGGCATTTCACATTTTTATTTGTTTTCAAATAACAGAGCTCGATGACGTAAGTGATTAGAGCTATCGGCTGCGATCGTTGAAGTTAAGAAAATTTCACAGTGGTCGGTCATCGGATGGGTGATCAAATATTTACTCTCTCGAGCTCCTCCGAGCTTTGTAAGGCACGTTAAGCCGTTGGTCTCGGCTGCATCTGCAGTCGTTAGCACCCACCAATCCGCACTGGGCCCGCGTGGTGGGTCAAGGTCGAATCTCCCTACTCCATCCATAGGGAAGGCCTGTGCCCCAGCAGTGGGGACATTAATAGGCTGATGATGATGATGATTTGTCATTTTAATAGCAGGTTGTCCTTATCATTCCCTACAGAGAATGAACAAAAAAATTCTTTTGTGAAGTTTACAAATAGCCATATGAAATGTCGGCATTACATATTCTTCAAATTATTTCGGGTAAAATAGGAAATAAATATCACATTTTTCTGTAAACATACACAACAATTAAGCATAGGAGTGCTGTATAGAATTTGTACAGTCCACAGCGAGTTAAACACACAACTTTGTACTAATAATCCTTATCCCGTTGCGATAAGGTCCATATTAGCACTAAATACGAGAAGGTAAAGTTACATTTCCTTATTGAATTTCGCTGTGCAGTCTGTACAATGATTGAGCCCGGTTTCAACGAGTATCAAATGAAGTTAACTTCAATGAGAAATTAATTTACAGTGTATACAAGATCCTAAGGTAGGAAAAAACACATTGTAACGCCTCCATCATGCTTAATTTCAAAAAGTCTCTTGAAATAACTGTACCCTTAGTACGAGTTTTACAATTACGAAAACTATGATAGTTTTCGTGAACTCGCACTCATACTAAGGGTACTGATTTTATTGTTTTCGTTTCAATACAAATAAACAGTGTTTATAAATCGTTTGCGTCTTCTTAAATTTTAGGTATATTTGGTTACTTTTCACCAAAATGTACAATGAAACATAATTTACAATTACGAAAACTATGACAGTTTTCGTGAGCTGACTAAGAGTTCTGATATTTTTTACTTTAAGTCGACTTGCTCAGTAATCCAAGACTTTGGAGACGGTAACGCAAAACTACAAGAAATTGTTTTCTAACTTAAAACTGGTGCTAGCGAAATAGGCCATTTTTAAGTACAATTGCATAAGGGTCATCCTACTACTATTAAAAATGTTTGTATGTATGTAACTCTCACGCAAAAACGGGTTTGGATAAAATTTGGCCCAGATACCTAGTTTGAGACATAGAATAAGAATATATTGTTTAAAACTTTCATGGTCACTAACATCTCTTATCTATTAGACAAGTCCGTCCGTCCGTCCGTCTGTCCGTGGTGCTGTTTCAGCGGCCAAACCGTAAGAGATAGATAAAGAGAATGTTTAAGTTATAAGTTAAGAATAGTCTGATAAGACTACAAACCGGATTTGAGTAACGTACACTTCCGGTTTTCGAGAAATCACGAATTTCAAACGAAACCACACAAAATCTCCGAAGTTCTCAATTAATTAAATACATTTTTTTTTTAAATCAGGTTTTGGTGAACATTTGGTTCACTGGTTTGCTAGTTATAGCCATTAACGGAATTGTTACCAAGTACCTTGTTTTTTACGAGTCTCCGATATTTCGGCACTGTTGCAAGCGCCATGATCACGGAGTAACTGAAGTAATTGCGGGTAGATGTTAGTGGCAGACATATCGGTCTACCCTCTTACGTCGTCTTTTATTGCGTTCGATACCCCTACCACTGTCACATTCCGAAATAATGGAGACTCATAAAAAACAAGGTAAATGGTAACAATTCCGTTAATAGCTATAAAAATAAGATAAGAACTTTTATATCCTGGAAAAATGTTAGTTCTTATGGGAAATCGTAGGCCGTAGCTAGTTAGTAAATTAACCCATAAATGAATTGAATTTGTTTAACTCATATTTATCAATTAACTGTCGCTATGAAGCTTGGTAGATTTTTTTTAGCATTTAACTGCTAGATGTTTCAATCTAAAGAAAATTCATAATTTCATTCATTCCTTTATCTTTAACATCTAGCATACCGCGCTAGCATAATGGTCAGAGCATTCGCCCTGATAGCGAAGGGTGCTGGTTCGAGTCCCGTTCGCTGCCTGGTCCGCGTGGAATTTTTTCTAGTAAACTTTTCTTTTGATGGAATATGTTTGTTTACATAAAGGCGTTTATAATAGGGATGATGACTAATTTTTTTTTCTTCGTTTATCAGGTAGATTATCAAAAAGTATTGGACACGTATTTTTTCTTTTTTCACATAATATAAACATTGCAGAGATATATTGATTTGAAAAGTCGCATGACGTCACGTTTGAGTACACTTTTAAGGGAAAATTCACTCAAAAGTGACGTCACGAGCCCCTACTCCCAAACTTTGACGCGCTATAACTTTGTCATTTTTTGGTTGATTGCCCAAAGAAAAAATACATGTCCATTATTTTTTGATCATCTTACTGACGGACTAAATAGAATTTCGTTTACTGTACCCCGTCATCATCCCTATTATGATAATGTAATAAATAAAAAAGTTAATCTCGTTGAAACCGCGCCTCGCATAACACTCATCGAGTCACGTTAACGTAAACGCGGCGCGTAACGTTACGCCGCGTTATTTTCATCTAATAATTCCTTCAGTCGCCTATTGATGTACTGCACTCTGGTCACTAGCTTATCTTTGGGGTTGAACTCTGTATACGGGATCTGGAGTACTTTGAAACCCTGAAATTATAAAGGTTAATTAATTTATTGCAATCGTTCATACATACACAACCAATTAATTGTATTAAACATATTTTTGAAGTGCTAACTTCTTATGGGAGGGTAAGCCGCTTCGTTACGTAACGCATTACGGCGCCAGTCTTTTGTTTTGCCAGACTACAAATAATTAATATACATAAAATTTAAGTAATAAATTGATATGCACATTCGGCACCGCCTATCCAATCGACCTATCCATCTTCCGAAGTAATTTAGACATAGCTCTCTTTTTTTTTAATGAGATTTGAAAGGACATTGTTCAGCTTCCATACATAGTTAGCCTAAGAACCAACAATCATGAAATATTATTTTCTAGGTTCAAAATCATAAGTAAATGACTGTAAAAACAAAGATTATTGACGGACACTTCTGAGAACTTAAATTATTAGGAAAACTAAAATTTTTTTGAGGTTATGTTTAACATTCAATGAAACATAGGTCAACCTATGAATTTAGTATGAACTCAGTATGAAGTGAATTAATATTGCAACTAATTCATTTTATTCGGTGCGATTTTAGAGAATAACTATTAGGAAAAACTTGGTTAGGTAGGAATCATGAATAAAATTAAAACTGTAGTTTTGCTTCTTATTTATTGACTATTTTTCACTTCATTGTATTATATTGTTAATTGTATTTATTTGTATATCACATTATATTGTGTAAATATGCAGCGTGAATGTGTATCAGGTGTTCTTGAATAATTTGGCAGTATGATCCTCTCAGGATGTTATGGCACAGGTTCACTAGCACTTGGTAATAAGGGCTCTGCTCTTTGGTAACATCGATGGCATATTAGATAGCCGAAATAGTTAAATTAAAGGAAAAACAATCGCAAATAAACACACACAACAGGTAATCCGAAACGAGAATGCACTTTCCAGTATATTATATACTACTCTTTGGAATGCACGAATGCCACAGATTACTACAAATGCAAACTGCATGCATCACAACCACAGAGTAAAGAATTTTATGCCGGCCCTTCTCTTGACAACAGTTTGTCCTTGTCATGCTCAGTAAGGAATGAAAAGGACAGACTGATGTCATGTTTTAAAATAGCAAATACGAATAACCAAGTGAAGTGCCGGCATTAGGAAGAAAGAGTGTTTTGTTTGCAGCGCTGCCATAGATTATACACATAAAATGGTATTTATTGTCTGAGATTATTTTTTAACTTTTTAATTTAGCTTACTTAACTGGAAGTGTCACAATCTAAATACTGATAATTATCGCAAAAAATGTACTAAGAATTATCATAAATGCCAAATTGGTGTTGGTTCTTAGGCCAATTTTAACATTGTCCTTTACGAATGAGGTCCACTTAAACTGAAAGGGATAATAAAATCTAAGATTGACAAAACATGCAAAGATACTACGAAATGAAATTATAAAATATTAAAATTACACAATTTAGTAATCTTTTTTTGTATTTTTATGAAAGCTTATGTAGTCGAGCAGTTTATAAAGTTAGTCAGAAGTTATGGAACATCTATATTTTTTTTTATTTTTCATTCTGTTTTACTTAATCCATTTTTATTTTGTATCCATCATTATTTTTATATCTTGGGTTAAAGTTAGGAAGGAGATTATTTTACTTATAAAACTACAATCAATAGGCATTATGTAAAAAAAAACGAACAAAAATAGACCCTAAAAGATGTTATACTTTTTCAAAGTTCAAGTCTCATCGCTTAATCATAAAAAATGACGAAAAAAATTCTAACTCGAAAATTACGAAAAATCGTAGAACATGCATGGGGGTTAAATTGATAGGCATGGTACTCCGCTATTAGCTCGCACTGGCTTGACGTCCTAGAAGAAACACTTGCGGCATCTTGACTTTTCAACGGTCCACGCGTGACTGTGAACCAACAAGTGCTTGAGTGGTATTCAAGCACTTCTTGATTGGGACACATTTTGAGCGCTCGTGGTGTATCTAGAGTATTTAATATCGTTGGTGCCTACATAAGAAAGGAGGTGTTTTAATTTTTTTATAGATAGGTCCGACAAATGACTCCACCCCAGCTGATGTTAAGTGACAGTAAAGTCCAGACGTGAAGATAGCTGATAATATTATACGAAATAGTATTTCGTACCTGTAATTGCAACAACACAGTGCAGAGGTGATTGACCCCGAGGGGCACGGCCACCTTTCGAGTCATGTCGTGGTAATCCAACCCCATCACTGCTATCCGATATTTGCTGACAAACAAATACATACATTCATAAATGAATACATAATAATATTCATCTACACTCATGTCGAAATATACGAATTGCGAACCTAAAGATGGTTTTTATAAAGACGTACTTAATAAACGCACACACATAAAGTTAAAAATAAAACTCATTAAAGCATTGCTAGTACTCGTATCATAAAAAAACTTTTAATAATTACAGTTACATTACAGATGAGTTCGATGGCGCGGGTGGGAAGCGCGTTCGGCTGCGATCGTTAAAGTTAAGCAACTATCGCATTAGTCGGTCATTGGATGGGACCCTAAAAATCTTTTATCTCGAGTTCCTCCGTGCTTCGGAATGCACGTTAAGCCGTTGGTCCCGGCTGCATCTGCAGTCGTTAGCACTCGCCAATCAGCACTGGGCGCGCGTGGTGGGTCGTGGCCCATTCTCCCTATTCCGACATTAATTGGCCGATGATGATCATGAAAGTACCGCTGGCTGTATCGTAAAATAACCTTCAATAATTACATTTCCTTTTTTTTTAATTACTATGTAAAAGACTATGGTATTACGCTGAATGTAAAAAAAAGACACACGCATTCGTAAATAAAACTTAATTTCGGGCGTTCCCATAAAATTTTACACCGATTGTGTTTTATTTTCAGCATTTGAGAAAAGTTTTGCAAAACAACTTCTTTGTTACCTAGCTACTTTGTTTAATTTCAATTATTTTCCCACGAGTGAAGATAAAATAGTGTATGCAACTTCATATAATTCAGGTGTCAAAACACTCGAGTCAACCTATTTAATAAACAGACTATCGTGTTTACATAGGCCTTCTTTCTTCTTATATGGCAGTTTCATAAACTATTATTTAAATATAAAAAAAACGAGCGAGCCTTACAGTAGTCGCGTATGATGTGTAACATTTCAAACCTCACCTTATATTAGTGAAAAAAGAAATAAAACCTACTACAAAAGGAATAAGCCATTTGAACAGTATGTTCTAAAATCAAATCAAATAGCGCGCGCTTTCGCGACTTCCTGTTACACACTTCCGTCCCTTTTCACGAAATCACTCCCACAAATTGCAGGAAAGCGAGAGGAAAGATCTTACACATCAAAAAGGCTTGTGTTACCAGCATCATTTTTTTTGTTTTTTAGGAATATTATTGTATAAACAGCCACAACCTACAAATGTTCAAAATTCATCATACAATTGAGAGATTCGAACCGAGGCGGGGCTCTGAGTAGACAACATGATTTAAATCTTTAAACTTCAAATAAGATACCATTAAATAGGCATACCTTTTGTCATTAATAGCTTTCTCTAAAGGAACTGGGTGACATTTAGCATCGACGGCAAACTCCGCATCTGCGAAAAACATAAAATTTTATATGTTACTATATTTACTCATACGACAGACACGCTTCTATTCTCTTCTTCTGGACAATATGAAAGTCAGCATGCTCTCTCGCCGCGGTAAATATTACACGGTTTTCCAGAATGAAATAAAACAAAAAATGTCTGTTAGTGTGAATGTGTATTATCACACACATATTACACTGGAACTATTAGAAACCAGAAAAATGTGATACTTCATTCGTAAGTACAGTTTTAAAGGAATTAATGATAATTGTATTTTAATTCGAAATAGTTCTTAAATTATAGCAACACATGTCGTCAATTTCTAGGCAAAATTTATGATTGTGAGTATTCTAAACAGTATTAAGTTAAGTTAATACCCTATTGCCCGTTCGGATTAATACAAGTTTGAAGTTTTATTTAAAATAATACCCTCTGGCCTGTTCAATTTTATTTAATATGTTATTTTCAGTAAAATTATTTTAAAATGATACTAGTTGTAATTTTAACATGAGCCATTTGAGCCATTTGAACTGCTTATAGAGTATTATCTTTACCCATTCACATAAAAGTACTTTTAAAATAAAAACTACTATTGATACACTAACTAAACTTACTCAACACAAAGAATGATAATGTACGTTTAAATCAAGGCATCATTTTAAACATTTGAACTAGTAGTTCCGCTTCTATGATTTTTTAAAACTTCAAAACGCGATATCTCAAAACACTGATTTTGAAGATTTTGTTTGTGACGTGCGACGTGGAAGCTAAAGAGCGAGATGTAATCTGCTCTAGAGACAGAGATAGACTACTTTAGTTCGCTCTATTGGCGGCTGTTGCCAAGGGAAGTTGGGGCGGGTACTCTTTGTGGGTACATTATTTTAAAATGCAATAATGTTGGCGTATAACTTGTGTATATATTATTTAGATTAAAATAAAAAGGGAAGATACGGTACGCTTATACTAGTATCAAATAAATCATGCTCCGACTAAACTACATAAGCAACTCTCACACAAGCACACGTCTGTAAATAAATATTCAATCGAGCGAGCGAGACAGAACTGTACGATCAACGCAGCGCGAGCGAAACGGCGAGTCCGCATCAGAGTCCGAACGGCTATGCTGTATTGTTGTCCTTTGCTTGATAACAAAATGGTGATTACGTAAATAACATTCACGACTAACCGTGATTTTAGAGATAAAATGATTTTACAAATGAAAAGTGTTGCAGAGGCTTTTGTTTTTGAACTATTTGTGTTCTTTGTAAAAGCATCGAAAGCATTGTTTTATCTTTATAACACAGAATTATGCAATATTGTTATGTTGAGTGTACATGCAGCGTGTTTGAATGTCCAAATTGTGACTAAAGCGGATAGTGGTCATGCACCACAATTTAAGCGGCTCACTTTTGAGCCGCGAGTGCCGTATCTTCCCTTTTTCTTTTAATCTAAGATTATACGTTATAGTATGTAGGTAAGTGCCTTAGTAGACCAGGGGAACTCCCACTGACATATTTAACATACCACAAAGAAAAAATCCCATGCCTGAGTTGCAATCTTTCTTGAGGAAGCTCTCATCGGAGACCAGACTCTTGAACGTATCCAGTATCGCGTGTACAAAGTCCACTTTTTCCTTGGCGAAGACCAGGGGAATCAGCAGAGACCAGACTCTTAAACGTATCCAGTATGGCGTGTACAAAGGCCTACATTTCCTTGATGTAGACCAGAAGAACTGCCACTGACACATTTTACTTACCATAAAGGAATCCCATGCCCGAGTTGTTATCTATCTTGAGGAAGCTCTCAGCGGAGACCAGACTCTTGAACCTAACTAGTATGGCGTGTACAAAATCCATTTTTTCCTTGGTATAGACCAGGGGAACTCCCACTGACACATTTAACTTACCATAAGGAATCCCATGCCCGAGTTGTTATCTATCTTGAGGAAGCTCTCAGCGGAAACCATACTCTAGAACGTATCCAGTATGGTGTGTACAAAGGCCACCTTTGCCTTAGTGTAGACCAGGGGAACTCTCACTGACAAATTTAACTTACCATAAAGGAATCCCATGCCCGAGTTGCAATCTTTCTTGAGGAAACTCTCAGCGGAGACCAGACTCTTGAATGTATCCAGTATGGCATGTACAAAGACCATTTTTTCCTTGGTGTAGACCAGGGGAACTCCTACCGACACGTCTTCTGGTAGACGGGGCACTTTCGACTTGTACTTCATGTGGGCATATGCGTCTATCATCATGAGCTTCCGACGGGATTGGATGGAGATCTCTGTGGGTAAGGAAATAAGGTGGGTTATCGCTTGTGCCTAAAAGGCATGATGACTGGCTAAATTAAACGTAAATACTATTAAATCCGGCAGTTAGATTGTTAAAAAATAATGGATACAAAATTATTCTTTTGTTAATTAACCAAAACATGACAAAACTAAAGCGAGTCATTGGAAGTTGCTCGTGACGTCACTTCTAAGTAAAAATTGTACAAAGACGTGACATCATGTGTTATCTAACCAAAAGATCTGTTTTATTTTCTCGATGGTCAGTCTTAATTATAATTACTTAAGGATAATTACTTTTAATATGAGAGCTCTCTTATACCCTTAAGTTTTAGCCTGCCACTATGAAATGAGTCATCCATTCACACGCACACAAAAAACACAATAAAAAAATCTTACACTTTTCGACAGATAAAAACTTGTTGGAATGAAATTACGAGAAAGGATTCGTGAAGATATAAAACTACAAAATTATAGTATTGGAACAAGCTTCTCAAATCATAAGCAATAAAGTATAAATTGACTTACCTCCCGCGGTCAGCAATTTGTCTATAAATTCTGGTCGAAGCGTAGACGCCAGGTGTCCTTTCTGCGCCTTCTCGAGGATTACCAGCGCGAACACTAAGTCCAGCCAAGATGTAGACCTGGACATCTCGTCCTCTTTCAGCGACACTGCTATCTAGTAACAAGGAATTAATATCCTTGATAAATAACAAAAAATATGCTTAGGCCCATATCAAAAGCTCGTTGTCAACTCTGAGACTACGACCTTCATCATCATCATCATCAACAGCCCATCATAGTCCACTGCTGGACATAGGCCTATCCAAATGCACGCCTACTCGCATCCAGCTCCTTCTTTTTGAAGTTATACTTCTTTAGGCGCGTTATGAAAAAATGATGAGAGTGAAATTTTAAGATGCGCGCGCATCACTGTAACACAAAATTTTAACAGCATGAAGTTGGTCGCTTTAGCGACCAACTTCATGCGTTACTTTTGTGTTTACCGCACATTAAGAAATTCTACCAACAAAATAGAAATAGAATCTCTATTTAGTGGGTGCTAACGACTGCATTGTGAAGGCCTATCAAAAGTATTTATTTTTTATACAAAACAGCATCTCAAGATCTCTCTCATGAGAGAAATCTATTATTAATATGGGCCTTAGATCAGTTACTCAGTTTTTGTTCACATTACACAAACAAATATTTATAAATTGAAGACCCTTCTAATGATACCTCAAAAACCTTGAAATTAACTAAAGAAAGCTGACTATAAGTTGTTGACTAGATAAAAAGATCCACGGAGTATCAGTTTAGTAAGAGTTTAAGTTATAGAGTTTTTTTTTGTCTCATTACAACACATTTATCGATAGATTTGCTACATACACCTTCATCACGATAAGAATATGATAACTACTTACTGTAACATTTATTTATTATCTTTATACTAAATTTGTAGTGTAAAAATATTTTAACATTTTAAAAAAGTAAATCGGAAAAGTACGCCCCTGCATCTACTGTTTCTTCTTGTAGCTCTTTCCATACATCTACTGCTTTTTTCTTTAACGCCTCCCGATTTTTTAAAATCGGACCTGGCAACACCTGGTTATAATAATATAGAACTCAAGAGTTTTTGGCAAGTGTTCATAGTGGATATTGTGAAATAAAATTGGTGTGATACAACCACCTGCGCAACTGAATAATTAGTGGAATCTTTAAAATATACGCTATTCCGGTCAAGTGGACGTGAGAACTGTATTGTAGTGTTGACTACTTCACAGAAGCCTATCGATAAAACCAACTAGATACATTTCGTGCCAAACACTCCAAGAAACATTAGAAAGCGTCACACCGACATTCTAATGTAAATAAAAAAAAGAAAATGGGTGCGTGTACTTATGTAGGCGCGTGAGAAGTTATCCTTCTTTGGCATCGTTTAAAATTAGTTTTGAATTGCATGCAAATAATTAATTACAATAAATTAATAAAAAGTCTGGAAAAGGACACAGTCAATAAAGTTCAGTTTTAATTTGAAAAAATAAATAAATAATCAAAATATTCAATTAAAATCGCTACTGAATATAATTTATTAGAACATATGTGATTTGCACTTGTATGAAACTCAAACACGTATTCCGAATATACAAACTAGAAACATGTGGATAAATATTATAAATATGAATACCTTTATCTGTTACTTTATTACAAAAAATAAAGATGTGGTTTTTGACTCTACTACACCAATGGTCAAGAGATGGCGCTGTAGTCTCCTGAATCGCGCTGTGGTTCCGTTGTTCCAGATTAATAAATACTTTTGATAGGCCTTCACAATGCAGTCGTTAGCACCCACTAAATAGAGATTCTATTTCTATTTTGTTGGTAGATTTTCTTAACGTGCGGTAAACACAAAAGTAACTGTTAATTTTTTGTGTTACAGTGATGCGCGCGCATCTTAAAATTTCACTCTCATCATTTTTTCATAACGCGCCTAAAGAAGTATAACTTCAAAAAGAAGATTAAGATTTGTATTTATGTATGCGACTGAAGGACTTGTATCCATGGTCATGAATAATTAAAAAAAAAGTATAGAACTCACCTCAAACAGCTCTTCACTCTGCGGTGGCACGTAATGCAACGTCGCGAAAGTGACGACAGCGGACGCGACATCGTTGGCGCGACAGACGTCCCTTCGAGAATGCATCCACTCCGCTATCGCCGCGAGCGCCGCCTCGTGCCGGTACTTAAGCAGCCCGAGCGACACCACTATGGAGGTCACCACGGAGGGCTTCTCCGAGTTGGAGGGTAGGCACTCTATCACGTCACTGGTGGACAACCCAGCCATTTATTTAAATGTTAAAAGAGTGCAAATGCCCACCTGATGGCAAGGGGCCACCATAGTCTATACCAGTGGTGGGCAAAGCACGGCCCGCGGGCCACATCCGGCCCGCCGATGGGTTTTCAATTTGGATATTATATGGTCTATTATATATATTATCAGTTTAAGTGATTATTAGAAACTTAATCTTCTTTGTCATTGACCGAACCACAATTTTTTCTTTAATTAAAATTTGCAATTTTCGATACCTTATGAATTTCATAAATTTTATGGTCCACCATTCAAAAAGTTTGCCCACCACTGGTCTATACTATAGAAGCTTGCGATACTGTGGCGGCGGCGATATCTACACGCCCCACATTATCACTACAGGGGAGTGTAAATAGTGTATTATAAGAAAACAGCAATATAATGCAATCGCTGGAATTTATGTCTAAGTTCTAAGTTTAAGCAGTATGAAGAAATGAAGGATAAACTAATTAAAATAGAAACGGAAAAGAAAACACACATGGCCTACATACAAACATGGAGATTAAAGAAGAAAATCTTGAACGTATGCGAAAGCAGGCTGGTGAAAGTGAGCAAGTGAGAATCGTGATTATATTTAGACCTAGTACGAAAAAAGAAGACAACAGGTCTATCATAGTAGACTTCACCACAATTTTGATGAGAGAAAAAATATGATCATCTAACCAATGATCTAAGCCCACAATAAGGGCAATAAGGAAAACAAATTGCACACTAAACATGATGGGTTTGATTGCTAGCCAAAACCAATTTATATTGTGGTATGTCTCACTCATACAGCAAGGAAAATGTAATACCTTACGAGGGAATTTCGTAAAAAAATGAGTATTCATTCTTCTGGCCTGCACATGAAAAAGTCTTCGTTCGTAAAAGAGAGAGAACTGCAAGTCGTCGCTATACTTCAATATTACCAAAAATTGATGGCTATATATCTTTTTCTCGTTATATTTTCTTTAGATTTAAACATCAAGCAGTTACATGCTTTAAAATAATAATAATTATGGCTATATATCTTACTTGTCAGATCATAGGAATCAGAATGATGGTGCTGTTTTGTACGTCCACAGTATAACTAAACGGGGAACTCTATATCAACTGATGGCCAGGGGTGTATTTACGCTAGGGCCAAGGGGGGGCATGGCCTATATTTTGATGAAATTGACTTATTCTAGGGGAGGGTGGTCCAAACCGTAAATGGGCTTGGGCACCATATTTAATTTCAAACTACGCCCCTGCAGATGGCGCTACTGGCTGAGCTCATCATAATGGCCATATGAAAAGTATGGTATAAGAATATATTGCAATAGCGAAATTTATTGTAAAGCCTAGACTAGAGCTACAAAGCAGGCATAAAATTCAAATTTTATTAATGTTAAAAGAGGGGCTAACAAAGTAAAGCCAGATGGAAAATGGCCACCATAGCCACTTATGATACCAAAAATATCATTGCGACACCAAAAACTATCATTGCAATACCAGAGCTATCACTCGCAACATTGTCACTTTTTTGTAATTAATGTTCTGAAGATTGTTCATGCAAAATATTATTAATCAGATTTAACTCCAAATCATATACATATTATGTCGCAGTCCAATAGCTGCAAAATATTTTGAGACATTTTTTTTAATACAACCTTGAATAGTAATAATTATTAAACAATAACTACTTAATAACTAAACTTACTTGCATATCCTATCTAAGAGTATGGGATCGGGGAAATTGAGTGTTGCCATCGAGAAGAGTAAATCAGCTGATTTCTTGAGGTCAATAACCTCCTCTTGTCTCGTGATGTTGTGCGACAGCGCGCGCAGCAGGGGGGTGCTTCGACGGCCTTTCTGCTGGAGAGCTTTCATCACCTATTAATAAAGTACTGATGTCACATAAGGATTCCATCTGAGCTAATGCGGTGAAAATCCATAATACAGTCCAGTCTATCATTTATCATCATCATCTGTGCCATACTAATATTATAATAAGAAACTACGTGTCTTTCTAATATCTGTTTACATTTATACTGCTTCTTTGGAAAAGAAATAAAATAGTTATATCTCAGAAATCATCCTTTAAAGGAGTGAAAAGGGGAGTGGAAGTATTTAACACTACAATCAAGCAATTTTTAACTGACAACTATTCTCACTAACATCAATAAGTTCTAAAATTTTATAAAGCAATACATTATTTAGATAAGCATTATAATTAACTCCCCATTCTATGGATGAATCAATTCAAATTAACACATACATATTGTGTATTTCTCTCATACAAACCTTTATCATCTGTGGCAAGGTCAAATTTGTGATAAGTCTTGCAGCTTCATCATCTCCAGTGATGCCGAGCACAGTGCCCAAATCCTCTGCCATGGTCATGGAGCTCATTGCATGTGTGGTGGTGGTCCGTGCCAGGATACGACACAGCTTCAGGAAACGAGGGTCTTTCTCAAAGTCAGAGATTTTCACCTTGTTGCTGTTAGACCAATCTGATAACACAGACACCATCTGGAATAAGTTCAAGATTAGGTATTTTAATCACATCTGAATGACAGCCTAAGATGCAATGTCAATAAAAGCTTTTGACTGATACAACTATGTAGATGATGCTGATAGCCAGTGTTTATAAAATAAATGATAACGAAATATATAAATTATAAACCTAATCAAGTACATAATTAAATAGCTAGCGTTAAAACACACCTTTAGTGCATGTCTTCTGGACACTATTGAGTTTTCAGCCACAACAAGCAGACTGTCAACATCATTTGCTTTCTGGATTTGATTATCTAGCATGTGCTGTTTACTGTGTTTAACTGATTTTGGACTCGGTTCCTTTGTGTCATCATCCTCTGGAGCATTAATTGATGCAAATGCTGCTGCTAGAAGTCCTAAAATAATTTATCTAATGGTAACTTCTGGTAATAAACAGAATCAATTACTGTTAAAAATATACATCAAAATTATGGTAACAATTAGATTATACACACAAATTCACACTTAGTCAGCAAAGATTAAGCACAAAGATTAATTAAAAACTAACAAATTATTCATGAAAATCACTCTCTATAGATCATTCTAATAACTTAAATTTTAAAAAAAGGACACCAGTAATCAACTAAAATTTGATTGCTTATTTCATGTCCCACCTTTGTTGTTACCTGCATTCTCTTTGATGGCTTCAGGGGAGGCTGATGTAAGTTTATCAGATGAACTTCTGGATTCATTCTTATCATTTTTGAGAGCCGCAGCACTAGAGCTGGGACATTTTCGTAAATTCGCTCTTGTTCCTAACCTCCAAATCACAGCACCACTGAATTTCAACATCTACAATTTAGAAAATATATTTATTACATAGCACCACCAATACCAATATAAGGTATACTACTACAGTTGAATTTTTAAGAAAAATATTAGTATTTCTAGCAAAATTGCTTAGCTAGCTCGTCTTACATCACGACCTTAGAAATTAGATACACTTGTAAATTTGAAAAAAAAAGTGTATAACTATTGTTTCAATTACCGTTATAAGGGAAGCAATCTGTTGATTATTTAATTGATTTCGCCGATTTTAAACATTTGGTTTGGTAAATATAATTTTCAACAATTTTGTTTGACAGACTTCACTATTTCAATGAATTAATGATAGATTTTTTTTTATTGAAACAAAACGTAACATTCGAAATTATAAATTGAAATTGATCAGCTTATAATTTAAACAGATCTTATCCAGTCTACTTGATTTGAATCTTAAAGATATCTTTAATTAAAAATATTAATAATGAAAATGTGTAGTGGAAGAAATAAACTATCTATGAAACTACGAAACATGAAACGAACGAAACGCGCTAGTAGTGTTGTACAAGATAAGAATATAATTATGACTTTGTTATTCAATAGAGTATTTGAAAAGTTTTAGAAAACGATCTCACTTTATTAACTAATGTTTATGCAGTCCGTAAAAAGTGGATATTCATCATTCTGTTGTGTATTTCAGTAAAATAACCAAATTAAAAACTCCATTTTCAAGTTGCCGCGAAAACGTTTCTCTGGACAATATGGCGTCTTACTAGTGTGTGACGTCACACGACTGTTATTAAACGTCAAACGATACAATGTAATGTCACTTTAACCGGAAGTTTACTTGCGTGTGACGTCATTTTAGGCTCCGTCAATCCCAAGCGTTTTGGGTCACGTGACAATAGATAAGAAAACTATTATCTTTTTCGTGGGTTTTTAGTACAATTTAGATTTTTTTTTTTTGTAAAAATAGTAAAATCCCCTGCGAATATTCATTGTAAACACAGATGCTAACAATTGGCACTTTATTTTTAATACTGTCAAATACCCTATTCATGTATCAACATAGACTTAAATAAATTAAATACGGGGATCGATTCTGCCGTTACATTCTCTAAACCTAAACTTAATTTTAGTTCAGGTTTAGAGAATTGGTACAGTTGACAGCTGTAAACGAGCACCTAAATTGAATTCACAAATTATGTAAAAGCATTGAACCGGTAATTATCGGTTTACTCAAATTAGCAATAACTACTTATTATTCAGTGATTTTGACTTATTTCAGTAATTCTTGGTTGTTCTTCATCATCTTTATGGAAACATAACATAAGTTTGTTATTTTACTGTTGAGAAATTATGAATCAATATTAAAGAGTGAATACTTGCCTACCCTGTAGTACTTAGGGTTTCTAGATTGGGAGTGTTTATCCTTATTTTGGGGAAAAATATGAGCTTGGAGAAATTAAATCTGCGGGGTGAACTTTAGGACTCATATTTTTTAGAAAATGCCTAAGTATTTTTTGGCAAAATGTTGGGGAAAGCTACCACTTTTAAAATTAAATTTAAATATAGGTACCAACTAGATTTTGGTTCCTAAAAAATCTATTAAGGATAATCAGTGACGATAGACCGTGTCGAGTCTGAGCCGAGCATCAGCCGTAGCATGGTCACCGAGCTGATCCCGTACCCGTAATTTACAAAGTGCCTCGACCGAGCTATTAGGTAGGTACCGATGCGCCATGATGCAGTCTAATCATTCAGATAAGGTACTATTTACTTTATTTGAATGATTAGACGTGTAGAATGGTAAGTGTACTCGTCCGAGCAAAAACGTTTTTTGTTTTGTCTGAGGTATCACTACGATTGCCCGGCAACACCACGCTGTATTCATGCAACGGGCCGTGGCCGAGCCGAGGCAGGACCAAGATTTTTCCGAGCGTTGTTTCATTTGTTGCTCGGTTGTCAGTCGGTTACTGTGTAATAGTGAATGTGTATAACTAGAGGAGTTAAATGGCGTAGACGGTTAGCGCAGCTGCCATCCGTAAAGTTAAGCAACTTTCGCAGTGGTCGGTCATTGGATGGGTGACCAAAAATCTTCTACCTCGAGTTCCTCCGTGCTTCGGAAGGCACGTTAAGCCGTTGGTCTCGGCTGCATCTGCAGTCGTTACCACCCGCTAATCCGCACTAGGCCTGCGTGGTGGGTAATGGTCCAATCTCCCTATTCCATCCATAGTGAAGGCCTCTGCCCCAGCAATGGGGACATTAATAGGCTGATGATGATGATGATGATTAGTTAACTCTGCTACGAAAATTTCTCGCATCGTAAATCCCCAATCGAGCTCATCTATCTAATACCTAGGTAAGAGGTTGTAATTATCCCCTCGGCTTTTTTGTGAAGATTTTGTTCTCATTTATTGTATAATCCGAGATGCGTATAGTTTAGGCGAGAAGTCCCAAATCCCAATTATTCATTTGGTGAAGATGCCAAACAAACTTTTCAATTACAAACAGTAGGAAGGTACTTATTTCGTGTTTGGTTATTTTAAGAAATATGATTAGCTTTTATAAAGTTGGAAATAAAAACATTTCTTACAAATATTAAAAACTGCTTCATAGAAACAAAACCACTAAAAACAAAGGAACATTTAAAGTCAAAATAACATTTGGATTGGAATTGGTGATTGAATGCATATCACTGACGCCATACCTATTATTTTGTTAATTATTGGACTATGTACTTTAGATATAAGTAGGAACTGTAGGTAGTACTTAAAGAATTAGTACATAGATTTCTTACCTTTTTAGCTTGTTTTTATATGAAGTGGATTTTTATTTTACCATAAATTATTTAGCATTTCATACAGGATATATCTACGTGTACATTACCTACAAAATACCACAATAGCGCATGTGTAACACTTTCGTTCTGTGATCGTGAATGTTAAGCAATTTTCACAATGGCCGATCTAGGGATGGGTGACCAACCAAAAATGTATTATATCGAGTTCCTATGTTGCTGCTCGCTACATTTGCAGTCGTTAGCCCCCCCCTAAGCCGCATTATACCATGACACATTAATAGCCTTATAATAAATCCGCATCGTAACATAGTCTTACCTACCTTTTAAAAAAATTAAAAGATCTAGCTAATATATTATTATCACCGTCGTCGCTCATTATTGTATAAAATTTATGTCTTTTGTTAAAGAAATAAACCCATATCCAACCTTATCATAAAGTTCAAAACTTAAGTGCAGCAATCATTTAGGAAATATTTGACCCCAATTATTCACATTTAAATTTAGAGAGGACCTCCGTAGGTCCTTCTTAAATTTAGTGTGACATTTCTAATTTTAGAGAAAATATGACATTTAGAATGTGTTTCAGACAAAGACTTTATATAATACCTAGACTGTGCACGAAAAAAATTAGTTAATATAAAGTAAGATTTATATCTGTAGTAATAGGATAGCTATTATCTTGATAAGCGGTCGCTAGTAAAAACGGTCCTGAGTGAGAAAGCACCCAACGGTAGTGTGTCCCTTTCTAACGTCTTGCCAGCTCAATTTATCATTGGGTTTGGTAGAAATGGTAGAAAATGTCATCCTTTTCTATTTGTGATTTACTGATTAATTACCGATACGAACGATTCGTAAACTATGAAACGTATTTAAACATTTCTACAGTTCCTATAAATAATAAAATAATCATTGATATTTTTAAAATAAATCTAAATACAGAGTAAAAGTAGTATTTAATTAGTTGAGCCTGGTAATACTGAATGTAAGATGGTGATTTGTTCACTTTATGACAATGACAATGATGACACTTGATGACAATTTGATTTGAAATATTGTAAATTTGCTTAATAAAGTGTATTTTTTTAAAATGGTGAACTCGTGTTGTGTAACAGGGTGCTACAATGAATCTTATCCCGGTAGCCCTTTTTCTTTTCACGGGTAAGTAAAACTTACAATCATATTCATTAGGTGAACCATGAATTTTGGAGGTAGATGAGATTTTTTTTCTTAACATGAGTTGTGTGAATTTAATGAATCAATTATTAAATAATGCGGTCGCTGTTACTTCATTGTTTCGTAGGTGCTTTTTAGAGCGTTTTTAGATTCGCATCATCATCATCATCATCAGCCTATTAATGTCCCCACTGCTGGGGCACAAGCCTTCCCTATGGATGGAATAGGGAGATTGGGCCATGACCCACCAGGCGGGCCCAGTGCGGATTGGCGGGTGCTAACGACTGCAGATGCAGCCGGGACCAACGGCTTAACGTGCCTTCCGAAACACGGAGGAACTCGAGATAGATTTTTTTGGTCACCCATCCAATGACCGACCACTGCGAAAGTTGCTTAACTTCAACCATCGCAGCCGAACGCGCTAATCACCTTCGCCATCGAGTTCCTCACAAAAATAGTAAAAAAAATTTTTTTCTTGTATTGTGTAGATTTCCGAAGAACACAAGGAGAAATTGATGTGGGAAAATGCAGTGCCTGGAAAAATTTCTAAGTCAGTTGTTTGCAGTGTGCATTTTAAATATGAATAAGACATTTAAATAAGACTTGGAAGCTACGGGAAGTCCTTAACCCTTGAGCACGTAGGACATAAGGCTACATTGCGACAAAAACTGCGCAAAACTATATTATTTAGCAATGTATAAAACCAATTTTAATAAAAATATTGTAAACAAATGATTGTCTTTTTTCCGTCCAGAATTTGATGAATTTGATTTGGCATTGACCGATTCATCTACCTCACAATATGTGGGTCTCCCTTACCTGAATAAACATACTTTTAAGAGTACTTTCCCTTCAGGTGGCTGGCATTACAAAATTCCACCCTCTTTATCTAATCTCAGTCCAAGCCAAGCTACGCGTACTAGTTTAAATACAGAATGAAACAGTTCATAGTACCTATGTATTATTATTTTTAAAACCTACATACCTTCGTTATGTCTGCGTTTAGAGGTATATGCATAGATGAGGTTTTTCATATTAATTAACACTACATAGTCTAAATTACGTAAAATAATAAGTTTTTGTCGATGTAACAGCAAAAAAAAGGTGCCAAAATCAGGTATTGGCATTTATGTTAAATTAATGGTAAGTCTGATGATACATTTTTGTTTCTAATTTTTTCACGCACATCACTCATTAAATAAAACTAGTTTTTCACGGGTTAATGCACGAAACTTTATTTATTTATTGACGTTTCGCAGCCTTTACAGGCCGCGTCGTCGGAATTTGTCATCATACAAAGACTTAGTGTAATTTTTATTACACTAAGTCTTTGTATGATGCACTTAGCGAG